AGGAAACACAACGTTCATAACGTTCTCAAAACTGCAATTTACAACCAATTCATCGGGCTACTTGGGAAGCTTGCAGGAATTGAAGTAACCAGCAATGTATATGATGAATTCCATGCGAGCAAACGCTAGATGGCATTCGAAAGCAGTTCCAAGCGCGGCCGTTTCCACAGTGATCGATTAACATCAGCGATAAGTTAAATTATTCGCAAATGTCACGGATAATAATTCATTGTACTATTTAAAATCAGTAATTATACGCATTCTGAAAATTGTCGCGTGTATATAAACAGTTTGAAAAATCGTGATTATCAATTGAAATTATCACTTGAGCGCACTTGAGGTCTTTCTTAAGATTGCCTCATATCGTTTTGTTAATTAAGTTTGTGTCAACGTAAAACCGAAGTCTGTAGCCGAACATCCATTGAGAAACTATTAATAATTCGATCGATAACAAATTGTATTAATATTTCGCCAATATCCCTTCAAGAAAGAAAGAAGAGATTTCTGTGTGATTTTTTCGTATTTAAGAAATAAGAAGCTCCATAAAAAAGCTACGCGACAATTTTCAGCTAGCTTTATCTGACTTCGCACTTTCGATCTCTCTTATCATATCGCTTTTCCGCGTTTCTCCTACGTCGAATTTCGAGTGTCTTTCGCCGTTCGAAATATTTTCTCCCGTCCACAATTATGTTTAATTGTTTAAATTACTTCTTTCAATACTGTTAAATAGCACCGTTATATACGCTGGTGGCCGGTAATTTATTTGCGATAACGGCAAAAAGCAGCTTTAATTATTATCTTATCTGACCTATTTTAAGCATACTTGCATTACTGTGCCGCGTTTGCAAGTTCTAACAACGCCGATAGCGTATTCGGCGTAAAAATCTTTAGACAGTTCCTCCGTGGAAGAAAACAATGATCATGAATCATTTGGAACGCTTCGCTCCAGTTGCATATGAAATGCAAACTTTCGCGACTTAATGTCAATATTATAACTTTCGGAACGTTCTCTCCCGTGATATCGGCTCAGAATGCTCTCGGGTCTCCGGCGATATAATTTGTTGATCCCTGCTAGGTGGCAAAACACGATCTCTTGCCAAATCAACAAATTGTTTCTCTTTAACGAGAATCCATACGGATATTTATATCAAAAGATGCTTAAGACGCATATAAATTTCTAATCACGAGCCGTGCATATTTTTTATTTTTTAATAGACGAACAAAAACATCTAATATTTACGTTATTGCATACTTCCTTCAATACCGTGGCAAGACTTCGTCCAATTAGTTCACCTGTAAGAATTAATTATAAAATTAAATATAAAAGTTCGTCGTATAAAAATATCAATTATTTTGGTGCACTTCGTGCGCGTTGCACTTTGATTCCAATTTCCCGTCTATCATTCTTATCGTATCATTATCTTAACTCCGCTATATTATAAAAAATCCATTATCTTCGTGTATTCGTCTTTATTTTCAGTGCACATTTTTGCAAGTATCAGAGCTGCATCGCTCTATAAAATAATATCCGACCGTCACGAGACGATTTTATCTTCAGACAACAAACCTCTTTCACTGATATTTTTCTAAATACGGCTCTAGAAATGCTATCAGTTCCAGCGCACCAACGAATCCTTCGTCAAGAACGATCGTTGTCATTATAACTGTGCTGTAATTTTCAGGAGAGAGAGAGGGAGAGAGAGAGAGAGAGAAAAAAAAACATCACATCGATGATTCTCCCCTCCGTCTACTTCTCGTTACATCGAAATCCCGATTGGTCGTCGGGTGTCGTTCACGGCGACTCGAGAGATCGCGAGAGCGGATTCTGCGGTTTCTCGCTCTCGGTCCCACCATCCCCGTTCTCATCATCCCGCGTCGTTCTCTCGTTTCCACGCACTTCCTTCTGGCCGAGCGCAGCCACTCGCTCCCGCGTCGACACCCACGCAGTCGATCGGCAGCCTCGAAGCGTTCTCCAAGCGCTCTCTCGTCCCACGTGAGAGAGAGAACACGGGCTTCTGCCAGGTGGCGTGCCTGTGCTCACCTGTCAGCACAATTTTTACCTGCGGACCTTCCACCGACCGGGGACCGGTCGACCAATCGGCGCGGCCGACCCTGAGGCCCCACGCTCGGCGCCCATCGCGCCTCTCGGGGAATAGTTGGCTCCTCTCGAGCTTAGTTCAAAAAGCCCGTCGTTGGAATAACGAGGGTTCCTACAAGCTGTGCGCGTTTGCAAGTGTACGTCGTCGTCGTCGCTGAAACGTCACCACGCCAAGCTCGGCGAGCCAGGTGAGTGCGATCGCGCGAGAGACCGATCGCGGAGACTCCCCTCAGACGCGGCGAGAGATCGATGGTCGAACTAGCCGATCGGTCTCTTCGTCAAAATGGCTCCGACGACCTCGCTCGACCTCGAGGAGGTGTCTTCGACACGCGGATGTGACGTTGCCTGATCGCTCGGCTTATCTTATCACGGCATGAGTTTTCTTTCTACACCGTGCACGCTCGCCGCACCTGCTGTGTTTCGCTCGCCGCTCGTCGTCGGATTTACCGTTTTCACGTCAATACGGCGATCGTAAACGCCGACAATGTCTTCTCCTCTTTATTCAGAATTCGCGTCTCCCGCTCTCTTCTCCTCTCGTTTCCTCTCACACTCATCTTTGCGACTGCGAGCGCCTCGGTGTGCCAGAATCGGTTCCGACACGTTCCTCGACGCGCGTTTTTACTCGCTCATTTTTTTTTCATATCTTTGACGCACGTCGGAGGTAGAATCGAGTACGCATGCACGTATGAAAAGTCCCAAGGCCGTGCTTTTCCGCGACTTTCTTACCGGCTTGCGCTTTTCTCACCTACGGAAAAGTACTCGTAGCATACTTGGATAACAGTTTCGCAAAAAAACGCTCGGAATTCCGTAAATATCGGGACCGCCCCAGAGAGAGAGAGAGAGAGTTGTAGCTGCGCGCACACACACGGAGGACACTAACCTAGCCTGAAGAGAAAAGTCAAATTCCCAGGATCAGTCAATATCCAGGTGTGAGGAAGTTGATGGAACTCGATAGAAAAACTTTTCGACGTCTTCTCCGTCGACACGTCGCAATTCTCACCAACGGAGGCTGTTACGAAGTTTCCAGCCCTGTCCTGAAACTCCGATGATCATCGGACGCAACGTCATCGACGACAATCCTGACAATGGCAGACAATGCGAGACTGCGTCATTACATCAATAAACGATAACGAGTCGCGAAGCGGCTCGAAGCGAATCTTCGCGCCGGTAATAGCCGTCGACTCCGCACGGAGAAAATGGCTCCTTTAGATTTGGCATTTCTATGCATTTGACTAAAATTGGTTTCACAGAAACACAGCGTATACACGAAATATGATTTGCTCGGGTAAAAAATTTCACCGTCTCATTCGAGAAAACTCCATTATTTGGACAGAAGGAACGCTATTATTTGAAATAATATCTCTTAACCAGATAAAATATTGATTGGCCATAAGTGCGTAAGACGAAGCAAGTAATTTCTCCGTAAGTAAGTTACCTTTCGTATCGAGTGAATTGTTTTATTTGAGATAGAAACACATATTCGTGGAAAAATCGAACAATCGTACCGATCGATCGGAAACATCGGTTTCTCTGGAGCGATGCCGATGATGAGATTCGTTTTTCCTCTCGCGACAAAATTGATTGAATTCGAAGAGATCTTTTCCTCAGCGCACGTGGAATATTAATCCCTTTGTGAGCCCCACTAATTACCGCGGGGGGAGTTCGGGGCCGGGAGGGGGGAGGGGGGCAACACCTCTGGGCCGCAGAGTGACCCGAGAATGGATTTCGATCGGCGAACGAGGCGCGCGCGATCGACTGACGGCGAGGTGGGTTAGCTGCAAGTGCACTTGAGTCATCCTCATTTCCGATGCTATCCTTCGGGCGCCAACGTGACCTGGAAACCGTCGGCAACCGGAATGCAAATTCCGATCGCGACGATACCGTCCGACGTGATTGTCGCCAGCGAGGAATTCTCTCCCCGGCGCGGAGAGTTCGCGCTGCTCGCTTCGCACGGCCGCTGAAAATTCGCTCCTAGTTGTGTCGCCTCGCGCCATCGGCGTACGTATGCGTGTAAACAGTGACCTCATCGCGTATTTTTAGGCGTCGTGTGTACGCGAACGTCGAAAGCCAGCCAGTCGATCATCGGATACGGATTTCAAGTCGAGCCCCGATGATGGCTTTCGCGAGACGACTTTCTACTAAAGTTCACCCGCGTCACACCGGCCGTGAAGATCGCCGGATTCTTCGCAAATTGCACCACCACGAACTGTGCCCATTATTCGCGCAAACGAAGCGTGCTGCTTCGAAAGCGCCCCGAGCGTCCTTATTTCCCACTTTTTTTTTTCGTTTTCGTTTTTCCGCGTTACGTCTTTGAAATAAGTCATAGCGAAACGTGGACGGGTAGAACGCGGGAAAGCACGAATTAATCGAGTTGCGCGAACACGCTCGCTCGTCTAAAAGTGTCAAATGATAGTGTGGACGAAGAGGAACGGATAAGTCGGTTGTGTAAATAATTTGATTGTAAAATACCTATCGCTGCGCCTTCTCTCTCTCTCTCTCTCTCTCTCTGTATTCATGTGCGTTAACATAGAGTGATTAAACGGCGAATAAGTAAGAGAGGAACAGGTTAACGTCTCTCCGGCGTCTGAGAGGCGTATTAATCACCTTATTGCGCGCTGTTCAATATTAGTCTACCCGTGCAACGCACTCTACGTAAAACTATGAGCTTCGAAATTCTTATTTTGATACATTTCTAATCGCCCCACTGATGCGACCGCATGCCGACTTTAAGCCTCCTAATTCTTATCTTCGAGTTGAAAAAAATGTAAAACGAGAAAAGACTTGAAATTCTTATATTACGCATTTTTAATTGCCACCGATATAACTATACGCCGAGCTTAACAGCCTCCTTAATTCTTATCTTCGAGTTAAAAAAGAAAAAAAACGAAAAACAAAACCTTACCTACACGCGAAAGCTGATGTGTCACTCGATGCTCGAACTAACACACTACAATGTGCGCGCGGCGTAATTCGGGGCGGCTGTAATAATATTTCGGGCATCTCGGCGAATCGAATCGCGCTATTACGCAATAGCAAGGTCAATGTCCACCCGGATGATCTATTTTTACTTGGGAGAAGTGCGCGATTCATCCTACTCCGCGGAGACCGCAATTGTGAAAGCGGGCGCAGGCGTAATGACGGTCAAGGTGCGATGATGTGCTGCTGTACAACCACCAGTAGATTAAATAGACATCAAGCGGACGTCATGTTACGTTAAATCATGTTACATTTTGTCATTTGAAATAATAATAACAATTGCGTGTTATTTAACTGTGGATAATTGGCCTTTAATATTCATAATAATTTAGTTATTTTATGTATGTTTCGCTGTAAATATATGCGCACAATTTTACAGACGTTTGATTTTCTTTCTGAAAAAAATATTTAGCAGCAAAAATTCGTCACGAATGATAATTTGTGATATTTCCATTGAACGAAGGTCGATTGGAAATTAATCAAAATATTTAATCGAAAGGAAGGGCAAATCATCGGGGGAGGGAGGTTTACATTAGCGCTGTTGGAAAGATGTGATAATTTTCTAGCTGAAGAACCGAAGAAGAAATGTCATTTCTGGAACCGATCATTTGAAAACGAAATAACTGCCTTCAGACCACCGTCGGTCGAATTCTTCGGAATATTTTCGAGTCCATTGAAAATTGTGTTATCTGAAGAATGCACAAAGCACGCGTTTGCGTAGAGCGTCCACGAATTGAGATCTAATTCAAAGTGGCCGTCTCCGTACTCCATTATTCGCCGCTAGACGTAGAATTCTCGGCTCGCCTGGATGCTTTCATTCGAGGGATCATCCCGGACGCATAAATATCGAGCAGCGGAGCCAGTTCACCAGATGTACCGACTTGTTCTCTGTACCACTCTCTATCCTTTTTTTTGTTTTTCTTCTTATTCAAAGGCAAGGAAAGAGGAAAACGATGCTCCAACGCACGCAACGCGCCTCGACAACGGGCTCTTTATCTGCGCGATGAATAATGCGACGCGATAAATGAGATAAATTATTGAGAATACGTGTCGCCGATTATACACCGATGATTTCAGAATTCTGCTCGATGGGCAAAGTACCTCGGGAAAGGCGAAGAGAAAAAGAGAGCGCGCCATATTTAAAAATAAATCACTCGATATATATTTAAACGCGCGCCGGAGGAAAGCAGAAAGAATATAATAGATATCGATTGGAGGTGCTAATTAAAATTCAATACCCGGAACGAGGCGAAAAAAAAAATCATATGATCGATGGAAATTATATATATATATATATATATATATACGAGTATTTTTTTTTCCGAGTGAGCTTCAGTTTTCCTGATACGTTCCTGGTACGAAGCAACGACGCCGCGCGGCGATATCACTAAAAAATTATCATTTCTCAAACCCTGGAGTCGAGTTGAATCGACGCAATGGACGATTTTCTCCGCCTGTTGGGATTGGTTCCGCTGTGTCGTGCAAACGAGAAGTCGCGGTTCTCAATTAACTTATTCGTCTTGGTTTTATTATATACGTCATCCGTGACGCTATCTATAGCTGCCATGTAATTCAGAATGGCACAAAGTGCTATTTCACATTAATATCGCGGTTATTAGAGCGACACACATAGTATCTTGTTTTCATCACACTGAGAAAAAAGAAACTTGATTTATTTGTGAAATATAAGGTTTATTTCGCAGAAATGAACGTTTACTTAAACAAAATAAAACTTTATTTTTAGCAACTTAGATTTATGGTGACCAATTAATATTTTACCTGGTTAAAAGATATTATTTCAATGAATAGCGTCACTTTCCGTTAAATAATAGAGTTTTCTTGAATGAGACAATAAAATGTTTACTCAAGCAAATAATATTTCGTATATGTTGTTTCTATGTAACAAATTTTAGTCAAATAAAATGAGAAATACGAAAAATCTAAAGAAACCTTTTTCTCTGCGTATGTGCGAATGAGGGGAACAATCTTGGACTCGGATGTCCTGCAGAAGTCGTTATTAACAAAGAGCGCTTAAGCAGTGTTCCCGGAAGATAACCCACGTCGATTCACGTGCGCGGCAACTATAAAAAGGCTGCGTGGCGACGAACGTGCTCTTGATGAACCGCACTGAGACGATGACATTTCTCAATGCCACGTGGCTGTAACGAGGTCGATGGTAATGGGATAATGCTGACGTTTTGACAACATGGGTGCGCAGTTCGTTTGAGCTTCTTGATAATCCACGAAGGAAGCGACGTCAATTCTGCTATCGCAATTGCGTGGAAACAACGAGCGACGGCTGATGGCAAAATTATTTCGTGACAGAGAGCTAATGACGTAAACGGTTTGTCAGAAATGAAAAAAAATTAAAAAAAAATGGAAACGAGCGCCGGCCAGTGAAATTTTCCCGGTGGGATTCATGCCCTCTCAGGTTCTCCAGACGAGATCGCGGGAGGAGAGTCGGGGAAATCGTGAATAATGCACTCCTGTTATCGATGCTCTCTGTTACTGTTTGTGAGCGTAAATAATTGGCGGTTATGGCTATAGATTGCATCACATCACGAGTTGTCAGCTTTGCGCTGATGCAAAAAACCAACCAACGAGAGATTTATGAGTGTGAGGAGACCGAATCAAATAAATGAACACGTTCACGCGCGTTAGCACGCACGTTTATAATGAACGAACACCGGAGAAACATTGTTCGGACGAATACCGGATAATTAACAGGAGTTAATTAAACATTGATTAAAAAGATTTAACAGATTCGTCGGTGTCAATGTTATTTACGATTATTACGCGATTATGACGAGCATTGTCACGCGAATGCTTGATGTTGATGCCGCGGAAAGAAATGTACAAACAGGTGGCCGGTCGACACGTGTCTGTGTTTTTTTTTTTTATTAAGAAAGACACCGACTTGTCGACTAATTAAATCGTACAAGTAAACATTCGATGTAAGGCGCATCCTGTGAAAATACGAAGTTTTCAGTTATATCTGTGTTTCGTGCCGCATATATGAAGGTATTATCGCTCGACGAGTCGTATTTAATATGTATCTTTTGTCCTTGGTACCGCTTTATTCATAAACAACGACTGGACAGCCTCGTGTCGCTCGTCTGTATCGAATACGAAGTATCGATAGACGTGCGGCGGTATCGTCCACGCGTACACACACACACACACCCATTGCTCTTCCTCCAGGCTTCCTCCGTCCCTTCTTCCGAATCACGAGAGGAACCAAAAGGTCAACGACGCGGATTGACCTCCGGAGTGAGGGAGAGAGAGAGAGAGAGAGAGAGCCACTGATCACGGTCACTGACACAAGAAAGAAAAGTGCACACAATACAGAGAAGCGCAAATTGCTTCTGCTGAGATGTCGTCGTCATTGGCCGATGGTTTCTACGAATTAAATCCGCAGATGCGGCGAATTAATTGCGACTAGAGACACTTTCGAGGAAGGTTCACTCGCGAACCTTTATGGAATTAATAAAAAAGTAGTTCGACACGATTATTAATTCTCCGGGGACATTGACGTTGTCCGAGAACATCGGAAGTAGAACCGTGAGAGAAAATGAAGTTACCGGGTAGTCTTGGAAAAGAGGAAATTTTTGTAGAAAAACCGCGGACTTTGCACCCACACATAATAAATTGCATACTGAATATTGTGTAACTTCTCAGAATTAGAATCCTGCGCTAAATGTACACGGATTCGGTTTCTTTCGCAGCAAAGTCTCAATTCAAGGTGTAGGAAAATCTCGAAATTGCAGAGAAGATTGACGCTCTTTGAATAAATTTTCACTACGTAGTCGATTTTTACTCCAAATCGACTGATGTTGTAAATGACGAAAAATAAAAGGGTATCGTGACGTCCTGTGCATATATTTAACTAGAGCTTACGGCTTCTATTTTTAAGTGAACAATTCACATCCTAGGAGGAATCTGAAAAAATAACGTACGCGCAACTTCGCTCTTCGTTTTGCAGCTATTCTGCACGTTGTTCGCTAAACGGTGCAACGGGCAATAGCACAACCTGAGACAAAATAAATATGCTCTTCGAGTACAGAGCACGAGAGATAAATATACCGATAACATGGCAAGATAAGGCCCTAAGATATCTTTCGTGATAAAAAGGAAGTTGCGGAGTTCTTCGAAAAGGTTAGCACTTGAAGGTATATATGCGAGATTAATGAGTTATTTCGCTACGTGTTGCTCAAGCACGCAATGTCTTGAATGCATTACACAAATATGCGATTATAGTGTACAAAGCAAGCTATCTAATGTCTCATCAATACGCATCTTTTACGTTGAGGAGCTCTCAATGATGATGACATTTATCATGGCGAAAGGGTGAAATTTAGCCTGTCGTTTCATTCGGATATATTTAAAAAAAAATCTATTTTTATTCCTGGAAGGAAGATAATTTCGCTGTCGATCTTAACATTTTTTTAAATTTCGCATTTCTTGCACGATGCCAAAAAGAAATGCATTTACTTAAAACCATACTAGAACGTAAAGATACTCGTTGAAATTCAGACACAATAAATACACGCGAGAAGCGAATGGAATAATCGGGTTAAATTAAAAAAACCAAATATCCGTATGTCGTGTCTGCTCTGTACTTGACACCAACTTCGCGTATTAACTATCGAACCGAAGAGACTAGACGCGCAATCCGTTAGTGGCTTTCGAGTTAGCAGTAGCCACGACGTCCACGCATTGCGTAAGTTCCAATTACAATGCGAAAATATTTGCACGACGAAACGGGGACGTAGAGTCGCGGGAAGAAAATACGATATCGGTTGTCTCGAAAAAGTGGACTCTGAACGAAAGGAATGTTCCTCCTCACTCGACACTTTCCTTCAAATTAAAGCCACGTGTACCTCTGCGACTACCCGACTGAATACTTCGCAACGGGAACTGTTGATAATAATTAATAGTCACATACGCGTGCAAGTATGCGTAAGGCATTCGAATTGTACATGCGTTCGCGATAGACGCGCCAACATTCCACGCAACTCCTACGGTTTCTAACGCAAGATCAGCAGATTTCTTAAATTACACTGTCGACGAAACATTTTCTCGAAATACGAACCGTTAACGCGGCAATCAAATAATTTATTCTTGTTATATCGTCGCTTATTATTCGCAATAGCTGTTTTCAATCATCTTCATATATTTTTATCAATCAGGAACATAAGATGACTGAACAAAACAAATTTTCATCTAAATAATATCGTTCGTCCGAGGCAGAGGTGGCAAACAACTTTAATTGCTAAAATTGCATTAAAAAAAAAATCGACTGTAAAAAGAAACTGAATTTTTTTTAACGGATGAGACAATGACGTACTTGTTTGCGCAATGACGCAGATACGTAATACGAGTTTTTTAATCATTTTTTTCGACCGTGTTTCCACAACCATCCAGTTTCATTTCCTAAATTACGTCCCCAAAAACGCACGATTCGCCCACACATTCGTAACGTGTATTATCTCGAATTCACACGCACGTATTGTGTCAAAGGACAGCAGATTTAGGACGCGCCCATGTGTTTATCATTCTCGAATGAATCACGATCGTTCACGACGACGAGCCGAGCGACAGAATGATCGCGCAACTCCTATTCGGAAAGCAAGCCGGGCCTCTTCTCGAGGACACGTGCGTACGAAGCGTGTGTCGTGTGCGTGCGCTCGCGTACACTCGATGGAATGTCGACGTTCGATTAAAGGTGTTAATATCCGCGAAAATTTCTACACCGTGGAAACATCGCGCTTCGGCATCGATGTTTTCTTGTTCGCGCGTCGCTGGAGTTTCCGCGTCTAAAATTAAACCGCAGATTAACTTCTAATAACCGTGTCGCAATTTTGAAAATTTCCCCTCCAGAATTCCCCCTCGTTAATAATTGTTATGGGGAAAGGAATCTATGACGCCAATGCGGCATAGTTTCCTTCCAGTAATTGCATCACACGCGCGCAAACTGACGTGTAATTACCTTTTATCTTGTCGCGGCAAGGAGGATGCGATAAACCGGTAAATTAAATGCTTTACCTCAAATATTTTACGTAAAGAAGACGTAGTGGGGAATTTCTTGAAAAATGTATCCATTCAAATATATAATATATGATACAATATTTTCTTTACACAGTACGAAATAAAAGCAGCATTGTAGCTGAGATTTCGTTCAGGGCACTGTTTTGCCATTCAGCTTGACTTAACGTTTCCTCGCGACGTCACGAATCCGCTCGTGACAATCGATTCGACATCACTGACGGTATTATACGATGGATTCTAGTAATCTAGGTAGCCCGCTGTATCGCTCGAAAAATGAGCGAGATGATTGGGGACCTCTTTCGAATCGAGTCGGCCTCCTCTCTCTCGCTGGACCCGCTGGCAATCTGGGACTCAAAGGGTGGGGCTGGCCACCTGCACTTGCTTTGCCTCCGAGCAAGTAACTTTACCAGGCCCAAAACTCGCCGAGCTATCTTTCAAGGATCGAACAAAGGCACCAGCTGGAACTCGCGGGCCCAACGTTATCTTCCGCGTTTTAAATCCACAATCACACACACGAGCGCGCACATTTGTGAAGCTTCAGGAGCTCTCCCACTAACGACCAGCTAACAACAGTCAAGGGCCGATATTTTTTGGAGGAAATTCCTCGATCCCGCCGACAAAAAACCGCTCCGTATGGCTGCGTGGTTCTAAACGAAAAAAAAAGAACAAAAAAGAAGATAGATCTTCCTAGATACGACCGAACGACGTCAGCCTGATATTTCGTTAATTCTAAAGGACTCCGCGAACTCTGATCCAAGGCAGAGCTCTAGGAAACATTATTATCTTTTGACGTAAACATCAAGCGTAAGGACAATTCGATCAAGCCGCAAAAATTACTCTTGATTGACCGGTCGTTATTTAGAATGTCGTTCTAATTCAACGAGAGCAAGGTACCCGCCTCTCTCTCTCTCTCTCTCTCTGTCTTTCAATCCGGTCTGATTCCAAGAAATCATCGTGCAATTGAGCGAATGAATATCGAACAATTTTCGCTGATCGTGGTTCGTTTCACGCCGGGTACGATAATAAAGCAGGGTATCGGCGTAAGGTAACTCTTCTCCGTTGTCATCCGCAGCCGAGAGATATCTCGGGTGACTACTGCGCAGCGATGTTGATTACTCGCGTTGTAAATCCCTCCGGGGGAGGATGAAATATCGGTACGCGCGTTTTTCCTTCGCAAATACGAGCGGAGATGTCGTCCGGTCCGCGAATAACTTATCCCACTGCAGTCGCCCCGATTGCAATTCTAATGTCGCCGCCGTTACGCCGAGAGAACCCCGCTCGGAACTGGTCTGCGTTCGCAACACGCGGGGAAATATCTGGAAACCGATTCCAGCATTTCAGCATCGTCGTACGCGCGACGATCCGTCGTCGATACCGCATACCGCGGCCGTGTTTCTTACGTAGGAGGTACGCACAAGTGATACAGCCATTCCTCGATCCCTCGCATTTGCATCTCTCGGCCGCGCCGAGAGATTGTTTGCGATGAAGGAACGCGCGTGACAAGTACACGTGAATTCTCGCGACGACGACGCGCGTAAATCCCCGCTCGGGAAATTAACGCGCGATCGATGATGATCCATCCGTCTTCCGTCGGATCAGCCGAGAAGACAGAGAAGAATTGAGATGCTGCGCGAAGAACGCGTCGGATGTGTCACACGTGTTGAGAGGTGGCATTTACACATTATAATAATGCTTACGATATATGTACGTATACACATGTTTAAATATTTACATGTCATTTTCTATTGTATATGCACCACTATTAACTCAACTAATGTTTAAATGAAGCATTAATAAGAACAATAAGAAATAAATAGTATCTCCATGTTTGTAATATTGTGTATATATTTGTCTTAATTTCACTCAAAAGTGACATTTATTACTTAAATAGTTAAATAAAGTTATAGGAAAGTATTTTCTTTGGTAAATAATAACTTCGCATAGAAGCCCCTTAATATCGCTAATGAAAATCTGGCGTTCTATGATATAATTATCCTAAACTAGAAAGACGGGGCGCTCTATTAAAACTAATTCTTCTATTACGTAACAATAAAACTTTTACAAAGTTGCATCAGAACGATATTCGAGATTTGCTTCTTCTACGCGGAAAAAATCTGAGTTTGTAACAGAGCGAAGACCAGACGAAAACTCGGTGACGAGAAACGATATCTCTGTTATCGCAATCGAAAAAATTCGCTTGAATATTCCGCTGTGTTAAAATTCAGTCGAGGTAACTGAGAATAATGGACTGAATAGAAATATCCTGCCGGAATATTTCTGTTTCTACAATCGGGTATTTTCATTTAGTTCCCGGACAATCGAAAGACAGTTGCACGAATCGAATTATTTTTTCTCCGTGTATTAATGATAATATACACGTTGCAAATTCTATGTCGAAGTTAAAATTCATTCCCATGCTAGAAGAATTTCCGATTGAACTTCTCACTATACAGTATTTCGTCAGATAGGTTTTCAGTCGACTTGATAATAATTCTACCGTCTGGACAAGCGAGACCAAGAATCATATCGATAAAAGCATTCGATCGGGGAACTGATGATCTCTGAGTATTTCTAAGTCTGATAAAGAAAACGTGACTGATAAAAAAAAGCCGTCGACCAGTAAAGGACAAGCATCAACGAATCGAATTTGCAGGTTATACAAACAAATTCACAAAATAATAGAGCTAGAATTTTAATGTTTATTTACGCTATGAAGATTCAAGTGTCTATTCAGAAAATTAATAAATAATATCGTCAATTATTCCAAAAATTCGACTAATTCTTCGGCTAATTCTTCTACGATATTACAAAGTGGCGAAATTCCACGCGGCAGCTATTCGACTTCTGAAATAATAATCTCCCTTCACATCGCGTAGGGAAGTTGTTCTTCCCACGTTAACGACCAAATATGTTAGTAACCGGTGCAAACAGATTTTCTCGTCGTCTTCTGCTACTGACTAAAAGTCGCTATACAGAGAAATAATATTATTAGCCAGGATAAAGTTATCGCGCGCGTTAGGGTTGATTATTATTATCATAACAATTAACATAATAATCACTTCTTCTCTCTGCGCAATTTGACGTATTACGTATTACGTATTTGCTATATTTAAGTTTAACACTAATGAAGGAATTTGGACTCACCTGTACGCGCGAAAAAAATACAGGTTTTATCGCGCGATTAAAAATACACGATAGTACGATGATAACGCCTATTGTAAACACGATATGGAATCGTGATCCACGTACGAACAATCTGATATATTAATATTCTATAAAACTTCGAACTGTTTCCCGCGTCACTCTTGAATCTCGGACGTATCGAAGCAATATTGCATAAGATTTCCACATGTTGCGCAAATGTTACACGTAACAACAATCTATAAAAAATTATCTTTTTCGAAAAAAAGTTAAAAGAAAGGAACCAAGTGCGTGCGGATAATCGTTCTTTTAAAAATATTAAGGAAAAATTGTTTCCGAGAAAAAGTCATTATATATTAAACATTATATATTAAACATTAATTCTAAGCTGCACCAATTAAACTTGTAGTCTCAAGAAAAAAAAAATAACGATATCAAGAGATTAGCGCGGTGGTGGAATGATTGATATTTCAGTTTCGAATTTCATGAACACGTGTTGTTTTAGCCGCAAAACAAATCGAAAAATATTGACAAGTATTGTACAAAACTGTCTGTCAGGAAAGCTTCTGTACAAAATATTGCGCAACATGCGCAAATGTTAACCGTAACGGCAGTGATCATCATCTCCGGCCGTAAACCGCCGTGTGTTCGCCACTTTCCATCTATACGTATATATTTTGTTGTTGTTGTTCAACGTCTCTCGCAATTCGGCAGGCGTCGCGCCGCGTTTTCATCCCTGTCTGTCTCCGCCCGTCGAGGAAAATGCGCAACGTGCGATCTATTCACGTACGTGCCAGAAGTCGCGCCGGTCTCTGCAAATCGTCACGGTTATCTAACGTCAGCCTGGCTGTAGGTGGGGCGCGGTAACGTTGTGCAGTAACGCGGGCAACGTTGCACCGGTCGCAGCACGTTAAAGTCTCTGATGTCGCGAGAGCGGGGCGAGGTTTAAATTGCCACCTCGGGCCCGCCGATACGGCCTTCCGAGTGGCACTGCCGCGAAGGTACATTCTTGCGTACGGTTACGTCAATCCGCCGAATTTCGCCGACTCATGCCTCGCTCTCCGGTATCGCGGCGATTAATAAAGTGTTCGGAAGGCGCGGAGCTTCGTGAAAACACGGCGTACTCTACGAGGGGATCTCGCGTTTTCCAACGACCGGGGACGCTTATCGAAGTAAACCAAGTAAACCAACTGACTGTTGCGTCTCCGCTCCGTCGGCGAAGTTTCACTCTTTTTCCTATCACCATCGGCGCGCATCTCTCAATGTCGATTTCGCCGATCCGATCGGTCCATCCGGAAAATCTGCCGACGAAACGATTCCCAGTAAGCGAGAAGCCATTAACGCGACGTTATCACGATGATATTTTGCAACACGTTTTCAAATAAATAGCTCTTAATGCCGCATACGTCATCGTTGACAATATTTCACCCAAACATGAAAAATAATATTTCAACACCATCATTTTAATATTTAGGAATATTGTATTATCAAGCGACAGTTCAAAAATATTTATGAAGTGTCATGTTAAAATGTTTACAAAATCCGTATAGAATCAATGTTTCGAAAGATTGGCTTAATGTTTCTCGCTTATTGGGTCGTCTCTTGTGCTTTATCTTTTCCTTTAATCTCCGACGCTGAACAACTTTGATAATTCAGATTAAAATCTTGTTGAAAAAAAGTGCACTTTTCAGCGATAAGTAGCGCAGAATGTAGTTGTAGAACTTTTTGTGTCTTTTGTGGGGGAATTAATAAAAAAGGAAAGGCGGCCAGGAAATTCGATAGAAGAAACCTTGGCGGAACAAAGCGATTCCGGAAGGAATATCATCTCTAAGCAAGCTATTACGCTTCTGTTCGTGGACTTGGTTGCGCCAGCACGAACGTGACACCCCGACATAACATTCGATCTCTCGGAACTTTGATATAGATCCTCGATTCGACGCTACGGTGCGAACGAACACGTCCATAACGCCAGGTAACTCGGTGCATGAGCGGCTATATAAAACAACGGCATTCATTATCAATTTTTCGCAAGTTATTCACTTCGGTGTTCAGAAACGTCTCAAAAAATCTAATAGAACAATAGACTTCACTGTGAGCAACAGACGAGTTACCAGATGTTGCTCAGGAGAGGCCGAGAAAAGTCTCGAGTTACAGTATCCCAGAAATGGGACATTCCCCGCGATCTATCTAGCTTCCAGTTCTGGAAAGAAAGTTTAAGAAAAACGACGCTTCAATGGCAGGATTCAGCGGCTGCGAAGTCATGCAGTACGGGAAACAAAGAGCAGAATAATTTCAGTGAGGCGAAATTAAAGAAATATTCAGACGAGAAATCATAAGACGTCGTATTAAGTTATAATTATTTATACCAATAACAATCTTCCCCCGATCTCCCGATACGACCCTCGGTCTCTCCATTTTGAGAATCTCGGAGTATTGCCTCGCCGTAAAAAAAAAAAAATCTACAATAAAAGTAACGGCGACAAATAGATGGCGGCCGAGTGAACTCCGACGAAGCACGTTACAAACGACGATATCTTTAATCAAGCGCCAGGAAATCACTGGCAAGCACATATCGCGGACACATAATTTGCGCGTGGGCGGATCCCACGAGACGTCCTTGTCATTCAGTAACAAAGCCCGATTACTTTCAGGATAAGCCACGAAATGAAGACTCCGGCAGCCTGGCTGCTGACAATCCTCCTGGCGGTTGCTGCCGCCGGGAATGATAGGACGACCATTTTTACTGTCTCGAAGGCGGCCGAAACGACCTCGTCGCCTTCGTATAATACAACAAGAAAACCCTTTCATACAACACCAACCAATGGACTTGCGACATCGAGCAACAAATTCATATCAGATTATGTCAGACCCTTCACGAACGTTAAAGACATACTGATGCAGGAGATTCGCACCTTGGACGAAAATACTTCGGGTGCTGCGGATGACAAGGTACGTATTATCCTTTTGGTAAGAGCGACAAATCACTTCCTATGGTCCCTTTAATCGAATTCGTTTCTTTCCGTGGCGAAGGAAACGCAGTTTCCTCCGCAAACGCGCGATATTGTACACTGTAACATCGATTGAATCGACAGATAACAATTGTTCATAACTTTGAATCTAGAATCGATTGTACAACACTTTGACGAACGTAATCGTTCAGTTTAATTTTCAATTTCAAATTTAATACCGATTGTTGACAAAGTATTGTTATTGTACAAAATGCAAATGAGGGACCATAATGTCACCTTCTCCTTTACTTATGAGAATTACAAACTATTTATAAAAAAACACGTTATTAAATCATTAGTCACAAGCAACGGTTAACTCCGACTCGCCTACGTTATAAGATATAAATCTCGTTCCGTATTAAGTCAAACGTAAACTGAAAAAGAAAAAAAAAAGTGTCGGGCACACGGCCGCGAGCCGCGGTCAGTGTGACTGATTTTCACCGTGCCACTTAAATGCTACGCTTAATTATGACCAAAACCGTTCGTACAGATCCAGGAAGAGGTGGCGGAAACATTCAAGGCCGAGGCGCAAAGAGACCGCGCGAGCTTACATGAGAAAACGACCGTGAAGCCGAGCCAGTCGACGACGGAAAAGGCGGACGCGGCGAAGATAGAAACTGAGAAGAAATTCGACGACATGCCCTACGAGGACGACCTCAGCGGCGAGTATATCGAAACAATGGACGAGGACGAGGACGACGATGACGACGACGGTGAAGACGGGGATGTCGGGGATATCGATGACGAGGAGGAAGTCACGATGGAGTGCCCTGATCATTGCAAATGCGCCGGACAATATGCCGCTGCAATGACCGCAACGTATGTCTCAGCTTCTAATCGGATCATTATATAACGGAATAATGTGCCTTGACACACACGCAGCGTGTGACACAAATGAAGAGTCTGCTGATAGACCGTTTCCGGTGCTGAGACCGCGCACAATAATTCGACATATATTTTTCTTCACGTTTAACGGGAAAGACGTTTTCCTCGCGCAATCGAATGTACATCCCATTCTTGCCGACTTCCCTCCCCCTCCCCCCTCTCCCTTCCCTCTCATCTGCCGTACATACATCATCGGTGTCATTGCTCGCGTGTAGCGTGTAATGGAGATGCACGCGACAGATAAAACGAGATAATCAAAGAATGGTAATCATCCGACGATAATTGCAGGTGATTTCTCGCATACGTGAGAATTTTTCACATATTTGTAGATTTTTCGTAAGATTATTAAGTTAAAATCTCGGCTATAGATAACGGTCATTTAATTTTGACAATAAAATCTTATTCCGAGGAATCTTAGGATAAATCACGCCGTGGCTTTGGAATTATTTTTATTCGCGCAATCAGATATCGGCGTGTCGTATATGTTATATCATTTCCTGGAAAAAAATTATACGGCCTTCGTCTAATTTTTCAAGGAAATTATAATTTCGTGTAATTTTTTCACGCCTTACACATAATCCATAAGGTTGGAAATTGCATAAATAAGTTTCCGGGTGGAAATACGTGTTAAAAAGTAATATTTAGTTAATCCAAGTAAAATAGTTAACTCCAACACTCCTTTTAGCAGATATTTACTTGAACGTGGCGCTGTTTTCCTTCCAGTGTATGCTTAATCGTAAGCATCATTTCCATGAGAAATTCATCGATCACGGCTCGACTAATCTTTGCAACAGCCGGATATATTTTCACCCGATCCTTGTCCGTAGATGCACCAAGCTGGTGGAGGATCAGACCTTCATGCCGGGCATCGCCCATTTGCGAATCGAGAAAGCTGGCGAGATCCGGCTCGGGCCGAACGCGCTGCGAGCCCGCGGTCTTCAGCAGTTGGAATCAATCAACATCGTCGATACGCGCATAGTCGAGTTAGACCGCACGGCTTTCAACGGCATCACGTACTTGTTCGCCGTGAATTTGACGCGCAACGGCCTCCACGATGTTCATCCGAACACGTTCCAGAACAACACGCAGCTCAGCCTGCTCACGATCGCCGACAACCCGCTCAAGCACACGCAAGACATGAAGGGAGCGAAGCATTACTTGCTGCACGCGTCTTCCGTCACCGACTTCGACTTCTCGAACAACGGCCTGCTGCGACTGAAGCGCACCGCCTTCTCGAAAATGCAGAGCCTCGGTTACGTCAATCTGCGCGGCAACTGGCTGAGGGAGATCGAGTCCGCGACCTTCGACCAGCTGAATGCGCTTGTGGAGATCAACCTCTCGGAAAATTTGCTGGATGAAATCACGCCGAATCTCTTCGATAACACGATGGTGCAGATTCTTCGCATGTCTGGTAAGAACGAAGTATCGAGGCCGCCGGAGTGAAAATTTCGGTCCTGTATTAAATCTACTTAGTTCTACACCCATACGGCACACTTTATCCGATGGACGTCCTTAGGGACATCTTCCGGACATCTTTAGGATATCAATTGGAGATTTGTGTTGGCATTAAGTCTTCAAGTGTAAAAACGTAAATAACTTCCCATTTGCAGCATCAAAGGAGCACAATAGACGACCTTTGAAGGCTTGACGTAGAACTAAACAGACTTAATGCAGAACTAAAAGTTCGACTTCGGGCGGACTTAAGTTAAAAATAAGTATCACACGCGTCACCAGCCTTAGGAGCGATTAATGCAATAGAAAACAATTGTTTTTGCTTAGGAAATAATCTGTCGACGTTGGCCATGATAAAAGCCTCGAAACTGACGTTACTCGACGCATCGAAGAACCGAATCAGGACAATCGCTAAAGAGGACTTAGAAGGCGTACCGCTGTTGGATCAACTGTACGTCAAGTCGAACAATTTGAAAAGGATCCATCCGCACGCTTTCAGCCATCTTGATCAATTGATATACGTTGATATCAGCGATAACAATATCTCCTCGATAACGGAGCATCACTTCAGAGCCAATTCAAGACTGCAGGTTCTGCTGATGAACGACAATCCCGCTCTACAAGTGCTGCCGGTCTTCAAGACTTCCGGCTTGAAGTACGATACGTTTAGGTAATATCACGACAATAATGTAAATACGATATATCTCGATAACAAGTACGTCATTTCTTTTTCATACAATAATTATCTCTGTCCAACAGCATCTTCCGCTTCGAGTGCGCAAATTGCGGTCTGAAGTACATTCAACCAGAAACATTCGACGAAATGCCAGCGCTGAATCGGCTGATACTCGCGAGGAACCAACTGCAAGGTTTGCCCGATGGGCTCCTGAGCCAACTCTCGTCTCTCCGAGAGCTGGACCTTTCCGACAATATGATCTCGACTCTCCAGCCCGAGATGTTCCACGGTGCCGAGAGCCTGGGCAGGATTAATCTCGCTGGCAATCCGTTGAGAACTTTGCAAGTAACGCCCTTCCTCAAGACACCGATAATCTTCAAGCTGGACGTGAGTCGGTGCGGTCTCGAGCGAGTGTGGAACGAAGCTAGGGAGCCATTGAAAAGCCTCCGGTAAGAATCGCGTTGTCAATTTCAAGAACGTTCCCATTCCGTTAGACACGCTGAATACTCGGGGAGATATCGAAGTCTTTACTCGACAGAATTAGTTCGCCGCCGCAAACCGCACGGAAGAGAGAATTCCCAGACAGCACGGATCTCCTAGGGACGTCCTGAGGATGTCCCGATGTTCTAAAGATGTCCATAGGACATCCATTGAACGTCTATGGGATATCGTGTGCTGTTTGGGTTGCAACTGAATTTTCCATTTGCCCGGGCCAGATAAAAACTCGGTTGCATCTTAGTAGAAATTGAATCTCGTGGTCGTTTAAATCTGTATCTAACGTCGCTATTAGTCAGTAATGTAACGCTTTCTCCTAGTGACTGGGTAATGGCTAGATAAATAAGTTAGCTGATGGTTCAACAAAAGAAATTACAGATACGAGGTGAAATGTCATAAGGTAAAAGTACCAATGCCTGGACACGTACCTAACTCTAAACACAGTCTTATCGTTTTAGTTTTTAAATATGAACACTTCAACTGTATTATCTTTTCTCTTCAGATTCCTGTCGGTTCGTGATAACCTGCTGCGACGGATTACCGTGGAGGAACTGAACGCCATGCCGAAACTCATCGGTCTGGACTTGTCGCACAATCCGATGGATTGTGACAACGAATTCAACGAGGCTGTGCAGTGGCTCACCGATCGTGGCGTCAGTCCGACGGAGTCAATCAAGTAGATACTTTCTCGTTTCTCCAGTTTGTACATGTGTGTCACGAAAGATTTCTTTTAACATTCCGCGACATCTTAGGAGCTACAATGACTTCTCCAATACCGAAGACGACACTGAGTCAACGGGCATCAGTGAATGGACGGATCTGGCGAAGACAGTTTGCGATGGAATAGAGGACGGCCCGCCGCCCAGACGATTCCCCGCCAAGAAAGAGCAGGATATTCTCTTGAACATCGATCACGAGGACACCGAGTCTCTGTTGAGACAGGAGCTCGACCAAGCCGAGGTGAAATAACGACACGCACAGGGAATTTATTATTTCCTTCCTTTTCAACTTAAGATCCGTACTCTCTTAAAGTGAATCAGAATGAAAATGTTTCCGATTAAATCGGAAAAATTATCATTATCATATTATTATAAATCAGTAATATCTTATATCAGTAATATTTGACATCAGTGAGTGCTTACTATTTCGTTAATGCGACAATGGTCGAAAGAGATTGAGAGCTATTTTCGTCACACATTTCTGTCACTCGAATTTCCGACGATGTCGTCGCGCATTTAACGATCTTGCAAATTGACAACAAAACTGAAACGATAACGTAATAAAACACCGGGCACGTTTGTCACAGAAGCTCTTGAAACTGGACATGGATCACGGCATGCGACAGGATGAGAATCCTCGAATGCTGGAAGATCACGTGTACGATGAAGACTTCGCGGTTACCACGAAATATCATACTTGGCACAACGGTGGCCTGTGGATGTCCATCACAATCATCCTCCTCACTTTAGCCCTCCTGCTATTGACAGCGCACGTCGCTCTCTGCTTGGCGAAGAGACGAGGACGAGGTCCTGTCCTCAGGCCACCTATGATCCTTCGTCAAGGTCTGGTCGACAACAAGAACTGCGGCTTGGTGTACAAACCCCTGCAGGAGGAGATAGCAACACCGCACATGCCGAAACGTGGTAGCTTCTACTCGAGCAGTACCTTCCATTATGACAAAATCGTGCCAGAGAGTGTATAGAACCCGTTTTCTCGAGTAATTAAGTAATTAATTAGAGCAGGTGACCTACGATTGGTCGTGATACGGGTCACTGAAGACTTTTCGTGGCTTTTGCAAATTAAGAGAAATTTGTTGGACTGTTAATATATGCATTATGAGGCCGATTGGTCAACGAGTCACTTTCGAGAAGACGTGTGTTCATTGCTGCCTCCAATTGAAACGATTTAAGTGGCCTCTATTTACTCGCATTTCACGATACGCGTGATCAACAAATTTGTCTTCTCCATTCTTTCCGTAAAAAGGACATCGAGAAACACAGAGAGAGAGAGAGAGAGAGAGATAATTAGTAAAAGCATTGAAACAATTATAAGCATTTAATTCGAGCTTGTAGCAACGTATGTGAACTGTAAAAATGCATGTTCTTTAGATTTTTACATTTTCGTTCTCGAAAGATTTACACACAAGCAATGCGATTAATAAGTGTTTGTTAAGGCGTTAATCGACATCTTCGATAACCTAAATGTAAAGTGCAGTGCTATTTTATACTTCGTTCTTGAGTAGACTTTTTTATACTATGATAGTAAAAAATTGGAGCACACGTTAAAAGTATAAAGTATCGATAAATTCTAACGAAGTACTTATTATTTATCAAACTGGAGCTTACACAGCGATAAAAAAGCGCAGGCGACAAATTTCGAGGTGTAAAATAAAGAAAAATAGTACTGCCTAGGATTAAATCTAATCGAATAAATAGATCAATTTAAGCGAAAATTTTACGATAACATTGATATCGTAATAATTTGGCGAAAATATGTTGGTAGGTAATCGGTGATGGAGAAATGAGAGAAATCGTGTATAATGGATGTAAAGGTTCAAACGAAACTGGTTTGTCAATACGATATCTGATATAGTAATATATATATGTAAACAATATATGTAAGTCATATACGTAACGTAAGTAATAGTAATATATATGTAAACAGTATACGTAAGTCAATAGTTTTTAATTATGGTGACAATTTTCTCACCCGACGAAGATACGAAAAGTTACGTATATGACTTACATATATTGTTTACATATATATATTACTATATCNTGTGTAAATACGATAAATACGTTTTAATATAATAACAATTTTAATTAAAACAAAATAGTCTTATTTCTTCTCTGATTAAGAGGAATTTTTCGGAACATATAAGAACTAACATTTTTTAAAAAAGAGCCAATAAAAAAATCAACCTTTTCGACACACCTGGAAAACGGAAATAAATTAATTCAGCCAAGATTTCAATGTGAAAACGAATAGTGTACAACGATTAGTATACCTATAGAGACAGATGACGTGGAGCTCGATTGAATAACTTTTATCATAGCAAGTATCAGAGCGATAATCCTATGCAGAATATGAAACGGTCGATGAAAATAGGACAGAATCACTGACGCATGTCGGATAGAGTGACCTTCCACTCTATGGTATAAACAAGATTCCTAAACACTTATCATCATTAAATGATTCCATGGATAAATGAAGCAGCAATATTATTGCGAAGTTTGTACATGTTCATATTTGAATAAACGTCGCACTTCAAACAGACAACATCTGGTTTATTATAATGTGCAAAGTTCTCTTGGACCGCTATTTACAAAATTGTTAGATATAAATCTAAATTCAATTTAACAATATTATTTTCAAAGTTGTATAGAATGTAGCACTGAATTTAATTATCCGTTAGTCGCAATATCCGACAAATACACATTCAATTTACAATATATCACCATTGCTGTACGGCCTCAAGGTCAAACTCATTCTTATCGATGTACTTTCCTTGTTCTTTTTGTTTTTTAATACGTTCTTCTGTTTTAATGTATTTTAATGCCTGGTCTATCAGCCACGTGCTAACGAAAGGAAAACTATTTCAAAAAGCAGAGAAAAACAAAAGCAAAATTAGTGTATCTGTGTGAGATAAATTGCGACCATTCACGGATGAAAAATATTGCGATCGTTCATGGATAGGAAATATTGAAACTAAAGGAGGGTTTGTGTCTAAATTGTGCAAATTTAAGGATGAAAATTACAGCAATCTCTTTCCTCTCTAACATTTCTCATTGTAACAAGCAGTTGGTAGAATTCCATTGATACAGCCCTGTCTACGTATAAATATCAACGCGTATAACGGAGTCACCTCATCACAGGCTTGAGTGGTAAACACGTTTAGTAGAAGGAGGGGACTAGAGGACAGTTCAGCTGGGAGCGTAACGTGGCAAGAACTCGTGAAGAACGTTGCTTCGCATAACACATTCCATTAAAAAACTGCACTAGAATTTATTGCAACCTGTTTTAATAACGCGCCGAAAATTGTGTACAAGATGCTGCCGAGACGACGTGTCATTGATCTTCTGCAAGTCATTTCATTTCAGTCGTAAGTGCACCACCGTCTGCCAAAAATTGTCATGAGAAAAAAAATCAGAAGCAGTGATACCGTCAAATGTGAATCGATGATCAGACATGCCTTCTTTGCTCCCAAATTCTGCATTCAGAATATTCCAATTCGAATTGATAAAAATATTTAAAAACATCTAAAAATATACTACAATTTCGCTTATCTAATAATATTAATATAATCACCAAGAATTATGATATAATGGGATATCGTTACTTATTTTGTTAAAATAATGAATATAATATTCCGTTAATTTTTTAAAGGTATTACGTAAGTAAACGTAAAAAAAGTGAACGTGGAAAGTGACAATATTAATGGCAATCTGTCAGCGGAAACTACACGTGCAACGCCCATTAAAGTAACGATCTAATTATCGATCGAGATATTTGATCGGGACAAATTTTTTCCGTAGCAAAGAATAAAGATCTATTTTGTGATAAATGTAAAATATGATAGAGAATTTCGAATGAAACTGTGTCGACTTCCATTTTAGATGTAGATGTCCAGCGCATGGAAATCCCATTGGAGCAACCAATGTTCGCGAACACGGAAAAGCTCGGAGTACCGCGGCAAATGTCGCACCCGACAAGGAATATGCTTTCGAGGTAAAAACTGTTAAGGAAATTCATGTAGAATAAAAGATCGCGTTATGTCGCGCATGATAGTTCACCGCTTCAATCACAGACCGCGCGATTATGAAATCGAAAGCTTCCAGCACATGCTGTGTCCAGAATTGCTCGTAAAATACCAGTATTTGCTGAGGCAGTTTATTAATCTGCTGATAACAATCTTGATATTCGAACTAGATCAGGAACGGTGCAACCAATGAGGTTGTCCTGATAATTATTTTGTGCGCAAAAAGATATATATGCTTTAAAAAATATACGTACTTATTTGTATTAGAATTTTTTGCGTATTATTTATTTATTTTTTATATTTCTTAAATTTAACAAAAATCGGAAAATCGACTGTTAATTCGTGTTAAATGTATACAAAAATGATATTTGTAAAATATTGTTAGAACGATAACTTAATTTTTGTAGTTTAGTTATTCGTTTGTTACAAGTTACACGATTGTTTCAGATGGCTTGTTCCACGGTGAGATATGGAATAGGGGTAACGAGAGAATTAGGGATGGACATGCAGAATTTGAGAGCAAAGAAGGCATGTCTGATGACCGATTCTAATCTAGTGAATCTGGCACCCGTAAAAACTGCCATCGACAGTCTGTCCAAACATGGTGTTAATTTCGAGATTTATGATAAAGTATACGTGGAACCAACTGAGCAAAGTTTGCAGGACTCGATCGAGTTTGCTAAGCGTGGACAGTTCGACGCTTTTATAGCGGTACGTATGCAACAAGTTTCTTATTCTTTCCTACGTGACGAGCATGGTTACGATAGTGTGAAAAATTTAAGCGAACCAAAAGATTTTTATAAATAAATCAAGGTTAAAGGAGGATCCACAGAGGATCAACTGTGATTAAAATGCAAAACTTCGACCGTTTTAGTTAAATACGTTTATAAATATGTCTTACCTGTCCTAAACTCTTTATATTTGTTAAATATTTATTATACTATTTCGCAAAATACTCAAAATAATTACTATTTATTTGCGTTAGATTGTAAATTATATTACAATAAATTAATTCGCAAGTGAAGTTTGCGGAAGCTTTTTTTTTCCCACTGTATGTACATATTTTCACAAACGAAGAGAAATTAATTTCTTAAATTTATAGTAGATGAAGAATAAGATAAAAAAATTGCCCGTGCAATATGTTTGCAAATTATGGATTCGAATGTTCAGGTCGGCGGCGGTTCCGTAATAGACACTTGCAAGGCGGCAAATCTATACACGTGCGACCCGGACGCCGAATTCTTAGATTACGTAAACGCACCGATCGGAAAAGGTAAGCCGATACAGGTGCCTTTGAAGCCGCTCGTCGCTGTTCCGACGACATCAGGTACCGGTTCCGAAACAACTGGTGTGTCTATTTTCGATTATCGACCACTGAAGGCCAAAACTGGAATTGCAAATAGGTAATATTCGTCGTGCTATCAATCAAACAGCACGATAATGCAGCGACGCCAAGTACAGCTGAGTAATATTCCCTAGATCGAAAATTATTCGCGATTTTTAGTCTTAAAGATATACACATAAAATCCAATATGAATAGACGGTCGGAAATTTAACGTTTCTTATTGCAGAGCCCTACGTCCAACTTTGGGAATCATCGACCCTCAGCACACTCTGACTTTACCAGAGAAAGTATGCGCTTATTCTGGTTTCGACGTGCTGTGTCACGCATTGGAATCCTTCACAGCGATACCTTACACAGAAAGGACACCATGCCCAACAAATCCAATCCTAAGACCGGCCTATCAAGGCAGCAATCCTGTGAGCGACGTTTGGGCGCGATATGCTCTGCAAGTTATGCGCAAGTAACGAATGAACCAATTACTTGTACAAAATGCTTCAAAATCTGCACCTTTACTTTGAACCGTAGATTCGTAAAGCTTTAAAGGAACTGTAGATTGATTCTATATCAAGCTAAAAGTAGTCAAGCTAGAAAATAATTAAAATAAAGTAACGAAATTATATAATATTAAGAAATTAAAGTATCTTAGCGAATTAAATTTCAATAAGGTAAATATAAATCGCAAAATTTATTTTTTTATTTCGTTCTCGATGAATTTTAATTTGGAACGAATTAAATCTAACATTAAAAATTGAAAAGCTTTGAAAGTCGCAAGTTCTCACAATTTCACTGGAAAGAAAAGTTAACTCTAATCTTTTTTCAAAGAAAATGTACAGTTTTAAAATGTTTTCTCCGGTAAGGCAAGAATGTATAAAGATATATAAAATCTATAACACTTGATCTTTTTTGTGCAGATACTTTCAACGAGCAGTTTACAACCAAGATGATTTAGAAGCAAGGAGTCAGATGCACTTAGCAAGTACAATGGCAGGTGTTGGCTTTGGAAATGCCGGAGTTCACCTTTGCCACGGTCTCTCGTATCCTATCAGTGGAAACGTTCGAAACTTCCAACCAGAAGTAATTACAAATGCAAATTTACACGACAAATTTATAACAAATAAATAATTTACCTCAATTTATAGTGAAAATTAGTTCTTGAGTGAATATCGACAAATTTATTTTCGCGATAAAGAAGCTTGAAAACATGAATAAAAATCTTCGATCAATAGTCAAATATTATTATCATAAATCCACTAAAATTCTAAATTCCCTGCTCGTATATAATATATTTACATCGAGTAATTTTCCTATCTCATTTCAGGGATATAGTAAGAATCATCCTATTATCCCTCATGGTCTATCCGTGGTGATTTCCGCGCCAGCCGTGTTTTCTTTCACGGGAAATGCATGCCCAGAAAGGCATTTGGAGGCTGCGAACTTGCTCGGTGCGGACGTCAAGAATGCCAAACGAGCAGATGCCGGCAAAATTTTGGCCGACACAGTCAAAGAGTACATGCGAATTATGAAAGTCGAAAACGGCTTGACGGAGCTCGGTTTCAAGAAAGAAGACATTCCTACATTAGTTCAGGGGACATTGCCTCAGGTAAATAATGTGTTCAATGATCCACATTTCCGTTCATTTGATGTCTCGTGTATCAAATGAAAATTAATTAAACGTATCAAATTAATAAAAATAACATTATCTTCTTTTCCAGCATCGCATTACGAAATTGGCGCCACGCGAGCAATCCGAAGAGGACCTCGCGCAATTATTGGAAAATTCGTTTACCATATATTAATAATCGTTTTGTGATAAGATCAAATTTTGATCAAGCATATGTATATATATCATAGACGATAAATAGAACTTCTATTTTTTTACATTAAACGCAACAGGAAAAAAACTACTAGAAAGCATATCAAAGTTTTTTAGAAACGTATTTTATCGAACTTATTTTGTTGTCTTGAAAAATTCAAATTGTTTGTTATACGAAAATAAATGTGTTTTTAACTCACCAGAATGATTATTTCTATGGTTCATTTTATGTAACATTGTTTGAAAAGTTATGGTTAATAAAATTATAATAAATTATTAATAATAAAATGTATGACGTAAATATTATGTTAATGTACTTAATAATGTAGTATATATTATCAGCTATTTATTAGAACCATGTATAATGAAGGACTCTTATTCTGTCCATGAAACTTCTACAATTGATCTTGATAATGAGTTCATTAATTACTTAAATTTAACCATGTGATTAACTACAATTAATTTCATCTATTGCTTACTACAAAAATTTCAACAAACGCTTTATGATTATGAGCTTCTAAGTGAATACGGTATCCCTTGCTCGTTTTACATTTTCTATCGTTTAAAATTAGCCGGTCGCCTTTTGCTCTCTATGTGCACACGTAGAAATAGCGTGTGGACCAATGCACTGTACCGTATGTACTACACGAGTTTTAACATTCATACGTAAGAAGATGCAAGGCTGGGGGTAAGACTGAAAAAAAGTATTCGGTCTTCCCCACATGTTTGCATTCACGCACATAGTATATATATATATGCTCAGCGTAATATAAGCGTAATAAAGAGTAGTACAATTATAATATATGTGGGATATGTACATCTCCTTAAAGAAAAAAAAAAATCTATGTAAATGTCTATAACTATACAATATAAACTATATAAAGATATTCCCGACATTTAAAGAGATTCAACGTGAAAAATAGCATGATTATTACGTTTAATGACACAATGCATGCTGCAAATTCTTCAGCTCATCTTCATATTTATAATTCGACAAATAACAAAATTGTAACGTACGCAACTTCTCTTATAAAGTTTCGTAACAAGCTTCACGCTGTTTACCGTTTGATTCGCCCTCGAGAAGAGGGTTGGAGGCTGTCATTTTTAATCCACACTTTTGAAGAAAAATTACTAAATATTATCGAAACAGTGATCAAGTCATGGCGATTGTAGGAATTAATGGATTTGGAAGAATAGGAAGAATGTGTCTCCGTGCTTGCCTCGAGAAACGCATTGAAGTAAGATTTTTGGTAATTGTGGGGTTTAAATGTTATGTCATTTAATCGAAAACTAAATGGCAAATTAATAAATATCATAGGTAAAATTAATCAACGACCCGTATCTTTCAACGGAATATATGATATATCTTTTTAAACATGATTCTACTCACGGACCGTATCCTTTATCTTTGGAATGTGAGAACGAATATATAGTTAGTGGTGGTAAATATATCTTTAATTAAAAAATATAAATATTAAATTTGTAACATATAATAGTTTTTACAGTTACTGCAAAAATTTTCCTACTAAGTTAAATTTCAACTTTCGTACTGCAAAATGTTATTTTAAATTGTTTTACATAAAATTTCATTTTACGTAATATTTAAGTACATATAATTTCTGTGCCATTAATGCTTTATACAATGAAATATCATGAATGTATATGAATGTATTGTTGGATCGCTCGATGAGAGACAAGAATTGCAACGTCACAAGAAAGACAGCCATATAAAATAGCATGGAAAAGCATGGGAGTGACGTACGTTATTGAAGCTAGCGGAGCATTTACGGCTTTAGAAAAAGCAAGCGTAAGAAAATAACTGGATATCCCTCTCTTTTCAGACTTACCAATAGATACAGGATCCATGTTAGGTTGATCACAATATGCCAGAAATCCTGAAAAACAATATTTTCATTCAAACAAAATGACATTTGGTATTAAACTATGTTGTTTATATTAAACAAGCCCAAGTCAATGAAACACATCTAAATCCAAAGAAAATTTTTTTATGTAATCAGAACAGTCTCGAATCTTGAATCACATCCAGTCTCGGGTGTCTGATGACATATTTAAAAGAAATAAATTACACGATGAACTTTTGGTCACGTCACACGATACGATTTTACAGCTACACATTGATGGAGGCGCGGAAAGAGTCATTATCACCGCGCCGTCTGCAAACGCGCCGATGTTGGTTTTCGGAGTCAATCACATGTGTTACAATCCAAAGAAAGACAGAGTTGTGTCCGCCACGTCTTGCACTACGAATTGCGCGGCTCCCATCATCAAAATCATGCACGACAACTTCGAGGTCCTCGAGGCGATGATAACCAGCATACACGCGGTGACAGCGTCCCAAAACACCGTGGACGGCCCGATAGAGAAGGTTGCTCGATGACGAAGATATTAACGTGTCTTCCCAAATGGATCTTTTTCCACGCATACGTTTTTCTTTTTTCGCCTGATCTCGACGTTGCACGGTGATGAAATAAATAGCATCGTCGTGGCGACCTACGAATGATCGTTATGTTTTATCAAACTTTCATTATCCGTGCGATTATACTTCGCCACAGGTCCGGTCCACTACGTTATGGAGAGACGGTAGAGGCGCGCTCCAGAATATCATTCCGACCGCAACCGGCGCCACCAAGTCATTAGGCAAAATTATCCCCGAGCTCAAGGACAAGATTTCTGCCATAGCATTCAAAGTACCGATCCCAAACGTCTCATTGTGCGACATGACGTTCAGGTAATTGGCGGATGCAAACCCGCCAGTGAGTTCACCGAACGACTGACCCGTAAGATACGGTCTATCCCCGGTCGAAATTTTAAATTCCATATTAAGCCCTCGAGTGGAGAAAATAGAGATAAGTACCCACTTGCAGCATCGAAGGAACATTTATTGCGCCCCGAGGGAATTTAGTCCCTCAGAGTCGAAATTTTAGTTCTGCATTAAGTCTTAGGTGAAAAAACGGCAATAATTCCCCTAATTGTAGCATCAAAAGAGAACAATGGAAAAGCTTGGGTCATTTAATGTAGAATTAAATAAGACTTAAAGTAGGACTAAAATTTCGACTCGGTTTACTTCGGTTTCGTTAACAATGTAACGTACTAAATCTCACACATAAAGAGAAGAGTACGAGTTTCCTCGGTGCAAACATATTCTAACGAGATTCCGAATTAGACGTATTCAAATTTAATGACGGATGAATCACGGTATCCTCGCACCTTGTATGACGCCACGAACGCGTCTAATGTCGTATGAAACCCGCTGCAGAGTCAATAAACCGACAACGTACGAAGAGGTGAAGGAGGCGATGAAAGAAGCGTCAGACGGGGATCTGAGAGACGTGCTGGGTTACACGGAGGACGACTGCGTTTCGTCAGACTTCAACCACACGACCTACTCCTGCGTGTTCGACGCCAATGCGGGCATCCCGCAGACCAGCACTTTCATCAAGATCGTTGCTTGGTAATAATGCCGTCGTAAAATTTGATTTTCTAATTCCGATTTTCCGAAATTACGGGCAGCATTCATAGTCAGATCTGAAATTTAAGGTCGTCTTAAGATCATCTTTAGATGCATTGTAATGCTAATGAAACGATCCGTACAGCACAGATAAAAAATGTTGCTGCAGAGGCAAATTTTGCACAGCGTTTGCTATAAAGAACGATGGAAAAAAATGGATATTTTTTCGGAAAATTTTTGCTTAAAAAATGTAAATTATACACATGATCTTACATTTTTCTCGGACTGCTGCACACGATGGTAGCATTTTATCCGCCTATAGCTATGGGAAAGTAGTCAAAATTCGTCTTAAAGGGAACAAAATAAGTGACTTTTAATACAATCTTAAATGTAAGATCCCACTACGAATACCGGCTTGTAACGTTTTACGCTACATCTTACGCCGGATTTTTCGATTTCTCCGCAGGTACGACAACGAGTATGGTTACTCGTATCGTATAGCCGACCTAATTCAATACATGCATAACGCCGATACCGGTAATATCCCTGTAACCGGACAAGCTATCGAACACGGTGACGATTAACGTCTGATGAAAATCATGAACAACCAACATGATACATATTGCACTTTGTCGTATATTTGACGTCCATCTTTGTTGTAACGTACGCAATCGAAATAATGCTTAATATGGCGGAGTCATAAAAGAGTTGCAACCATTTTTTCGACGAGTTTTGCAATGAAGGCACCACAGAATTTAAAACCGTTGAGCACGGAATGCGTTCCGAAAAACTGTATAATGAACGTATTGCAACTTTTTTGTGACTGGCTATATAAAGAATACACAAATTCAACGCATATATACTCGACCATATATTTGCCCAGACAGCACGGATCTCGGGGCGTTCCGAGGATGTCCTAAGGACGTCCGCAGAACGTGCACGGGATATTGCGTGCTATTTGGGTTGTGGAAAGTTTCTCCCGCGCATTTTTTATTCCCAGACTTGCATGCGCGATATATTTACCTGTTGATCGAAATTCCTCGCGAAGCCGTGCCAACGTCCTTGAGAAGCAGCAAGTCGCGAGGTTATGACGCGATTCGCGGACATACTTTGAACTCGCGCGATACGCTCGGGAAAAGTTTCCCCGTCTAAATCCGCGAGCGCAAGTCGTAACACGCGACGCGAATGCGTTCGAGGAGCATCCGCTGCGATTGATTCGGCTCCGGGTGGATCCGGGATAGATCGATGTGGCGCCAAAAGGATCGGGAGGAATTTCCGCCATTGGCTCGGCCGGCTTGAAGTTCGCGGCGGGTGAACACGTCGACAATCGATCCGCGTCACGTGACGTGCCGAGTGCCGCCGGTGACGCACGAGGCGCGGCGGCCGTTACGCGCATCCTTTGTGAACGCGCCACTTATATCAGCGGTCCGTGCCCTTCAAGTGACACTTCTCGGTTAGTAACCGCCGCGGACGGAGCTGGTTTTTCTCCCGGTAAGTAGCTATCTTGATCTTCTCACCTTGGCGCACACGCCCCGCGTTCTCGTTCGCGAACGAAGCCGCGTCTGTGAATGAATCGTTGCGATCGCCGTTGCTCGTTCGTCCCAGCCGGTCGTTCGCGTCGTCGTTCTCGCGAACGTGCCGTGCGCGACTCGGCCGGATTCAACGACGAACGCCGGCCATTCCGATGACGTCGGCCGAGTATCTCGTGGAATCCACCGGGAATCAGACCTATGCTTCCCCGAGGAACATTCGAGATACTCGAGTGACGATCGGCACGGTGATGCTCAGCGCACGGTTCCTTCCGCGTTGAGAGGTTACAGGACCTCTGCAGGCACCGGAAAATCGATTTCTTACATGCCCCTACAAAGTGACTCGAAGAGCCGGTTGTTTCACCTTTGGATAAATTTATCCGACAGATATCCGAAGAGCCGTCCCCGTACGGAAATAAACTGCAAGAATATGAGAAGATCACTGATACACCATTGAGAACGTTATTGAGGAATAACAACTTCGAGACTTTTGTGTCCTGATTTTGGACGTTTGTGCTGTCTGGGATATTTCAATAATTCATTCTCGTTTATTCCCGCATGGGAACGTCATTCAAATATTCATTCATTAGACAAATTCACCCGTAGGTGGAACAGCCGACCACGAGAGTCTTGCCGATAGCTGTAGTTCAGAATGTTATTTTTCATCGGAACTTATTCTCGGAAGCGTAAGAAAAATCGAAGTAGAGTAGAAGACGAACCTTGTCGCGGGAATGCGTTCGTCGACGATGCAGGAGAACCCGGACGAAGCCCGAACATCTTCCTCGCCGCTCCCTGCGTTCCAGCGCCAATCGCGATTCCGGTGCGAGCCTGGAGTCTTTCGTCGAACGATTCAACTTCGATCGAATATTCCCATTTCAAATTTGTAGACCGGCATTCGCAATCAGATTTTTTTATTTTTAAGATGCTCATTTCGTACGGCTCATTTCATTGGCCACAGAGCATCTAAAGATGAACTTAAGACGGTCTGAAAACTTAGAAATCCAACTAGGGATGCACCGACCTTAAAGCAAATACCTGGGAACAAAGCTTTCGTGAAGCAATTCTACAATGAAAATTTAATACGTGAGATTTAAGAAATTGACCAATCATAATTGACTTTTCTTCTATAATTCGATGTCTTAATTCTTATGCATTAAATTCTCATTGTAGACCCCGCTTAATGGCCTCGGCATTTCAAGAAATTACGATAAGGGAGAACGAGTTCCCAATCGATATGGCGGAGACTGTACCCGCAGGGACCGGTTTGTGTGCGCCGGCTGCGAAATTAAGCGAGGAAGTGCCGTCGTTACTCAGTTCTCGGACGCGCGGAAAATTGCCGCGGCATCATTCTAGCCGCGCGAGAACAGCTCGCGTGTTTCCCGGATAAATTCGGCCGCGCAGAATCGCACGAGTAACGTATTCTCGTCCGTTCATTTGTCCGCCGAGAAAATCGGTGGTGGTAGTTACGCCAGGTCGGAAAACAATCGCGTCAACGCGCCGAGAAACGAACGATGCCGGTCTCGGATGATTAATACAGCTTTTTTCTTATCGTACGATACCCGATAATCCCGCGAATGCGAGGTCACGATCGTCCCCCAAGGACGTTGACGTCGAAGAACTCGGGACACACCCCTTTAACCTTGCCTGACCTCCAAGGTTTGCCCGGCCAATCCGATGCACGACCCGTTACGTGACATGTGCCAAGACGTTGCCACCGCAGCTGCTTTCGAAGATAAACCCGACTAGAGGACAGTTTATGTCACATCTAACGTTACGCAAGCGGCATTTACGATTTATCCGAACGTATCTCCCCGACAACTTTGTTACAAGCTGCAAGCTGAGCGCGTATTTACCGCGACAGATGTCGATAAGGATTTCAATTTTACGATCCGGCTTTTATATGTGTATAATTTCCATTTAACGCTTATTTAGATCCTGCTGATATTATGAAACGTGTTCTGATACGACGTTAATTAATAAAGCGTCACCCCTTATCTGACCTCATTTTAATACAGCACAGTTACTCGCCTCCGCTGCGACGACAGATAAGAACTTGGCGTCAGCCTCGAAAAATGTATTTCCGCCCATCGGTATCCTTGAAACAAAAAACGGGTCACCTTCAGCAGAGCGTTTCTTTTGCAACGGTTGGAAGTTTCCCGAGCTGAGATTGGATTATTCTTTCAGATCCGGAGGAATAGCCTAATCTCAGCTGACCGAAAACTCCCGACAATTGTGAAATAAACGTGTTCAGTTGAACGCGTCAGTCGGCAATTAGCTTACGCTAAGAAAAAGATATCTTCAAATTCCATTCATTTTATCGCATCCAAATCAATCTCACCATTGAGATGCTCCGAGGAAATCACGCGTCCGTCCCGCTCTAACCTAAATTCTCCGAATCCACTGACGAGGCTCGCCACACAATGAGACTCGTCTCCTCCTACCTGTTCCACGTGAGCGCAATGGTGCGGAAAACGCATGACCGTTGCGCAGCTTCTCGTAATATTCTCATCCGTCGGTTTTCCAGTTGCGATCAAGAGGACGACATGAGCAAGATCGGAATCAACGGATTCGGCCGTATCGGCCGTCTCGTGCTGAGGGCTTCCCTGGAGCGCGGTGGTCAGGTACGTGTCGACAAATCGGAGTCCCGAGTCAACCGGCAGCTTCTCTTCAACGAGGATCCGCCGCCCACTAATTCCGCTGTCTCTGTCGATTAGGTCGTCGCCATCAATGATCCCTTCATCGGTCTCGACTACATGGTCTACATGTTTAAATACGACTCCACCCATGGCAGATTCAAGGGGGAAATCAAAGCGGAGGATGGCTGTCTGGTCGTCAATGGAAGCAAGATCGCCGTTTACAGCGAACGCGAGCCGAAGGCGATTCCGTGGGCGAAGGCCGGCGCCGAGTACATCGTCGAGTCGACCGGCGTGTTCACGACCATCGAGAAGGCGTCCGTACGTGATCTCGAGATTACTCGACCCCGGAGTGGTCGCGCACCTAAAACGCAACACGAGCGCCGATGACAAGTGTCCTCCATTTTAAGTTGGCATTTCGATTAAAAAAAAATCGCTTTAGGTCGGTTTTACATTAGTAATCATGAGTGAGTAATCACGCAGTGAATTATGATCGACTGGTGATTGGTCAATTTCTTACGACTTTGCGATAAGGTGACTAATATAGAACCGGCCTTAGAGAGCAGTAATATTTATCTATATGAAAAGCAGTCGTGAAAGATCTTATTCAAAACGGACAAGAGCAGTCTTTAACAGACAGATTCACGGAAGTGCGAGATGGATGCTTGTTAGTATTTTTGTAGAATGAATTTTGCGCACAGATGACGCCTGCGTGACCACTGTCGACTTAACTAATTCGATTGATTTGTTAGGAAATCTCATGGAATCTCGTTTTAACGCAGGCTCACTTGGAAGGCGGTGCCAAGAAGGTCATAATCTCCGCTCCGTCGGCGGATGCGCCGATGTTCGTCGTCGGTGTGAACCTGGAGGCTTACGATCCGACCTGCAAAGTAGTCTCCAACGCCTCCTGCACCACCAACTGCTTGGCGCCTCTCGCCAAAGTAATCCACGACAACTTCGAGATCGTTGAAGGCCTCATGACTACCGTGCACGCGATCACGGCCACCCAGAAAACCGTCGACGGGCCTTCCGGCAAGGTAACACTACGTGACTATTTAGCGAAAAATGGACCACACGACCAGCGTCATGTATGCTGTATCATTCTCTGGATGGAGAGTTACATAATGATTCTCTAATTATAATAGTTTCAATCTTATCAATCTGTACACTGCCGAATCTCGAATTAGGCGCATCGTTTTGGAGTATTCGAGCATCACAATCACTGCTTTGGAGCATCTTCATCGGTTCACAGAATAATCAGCAGTCGTGACACGGCGAAAGTCTCCCTGGGAATTGTGCGATAATAAAAAGTTCCAGTCTAGAAAGTGATACAGCATACTTGATATCGATTGTATAAAAATTGAAAGAAATCACTGTCGTAATAACGTTTTTCGTTCTCTACCTGATTCTCACAGCTGTGGCGTGACGGTCGTGGCGCGGCGCAGAATATAATACCCGCGTCGACCGGCGCCGCGAAAGCGGTGGGCAAGGTCATCCCAGCCCTGAACGGGAAGCTCACGGGTATGGCCTTCCGCGTGCCCGTGCACAACGTGTCCGTCGTCGACTTGACGGTCCGACTCGCCAAGCCCGCCACTTACGACGAAATCAAGGCGAAAGTGAAGGAGGCCGCCGCCGGCCCTCTGAACGGCATCCTGAGCTACACCGAGGACGACGTGGTCTCGTCCGATTTCATCGGCGACAACCACTCCAGTATCTTCGACGCTAAGGCCGGCATACCTCTCAATGACAACTTCGTGAAGCTCATCTCGTGGTACGACAACGAGTTCGGCTACTCCAGCCGGGTGATCGACCTGATCAAGTACATGCAGAGCAAGGACTAAGCTGTCCTCAGAAGTCGGTCATTCATTCATGTCCTCCTCTTAGCTCCGAGCTCGTCGTACGGTTAAAAAAAAAACGTTCCATCGTGGACGTATCTGTGCTGTATAAGACACCGCCCCATATTAATCAGCGTTGTTACTAACTTGTAGCAGGGATGCGCACGAAGTAAAAGCAAGGAGCGCAAGCAAGTCGTACTCTTTCTTCTCGCGCAGTCGATATACACAGGTATAGCTGAGCTACTGACGTGTTTCCCGTCGTCGGTTGCAACAAGACAGGCACTCTCCAGCGCTAATCCGTATCCAAAAGTCCGCCGCGATGTATCTCTGTCTTGTGTCGGGATTAATTAGTCAGCGAAACGTAAATGTGAACGTTGTAACATAAACGTTAATGCGAACGGAATCTATGTACTCGCGCAAAGTTTGTATTTACGGCAGAGAGAGAGAGGGAAGTTTATGATTTCATTCATCGTAAACGAGTACCGATTTCTGATAATTACTCACGCGTACACGTATTTACTTTCCATCACTCGTTCGTTCATATACCCGAGAGAGAATCCTCGTAAATATTAGTGACTGGTGGGGCACGACTGTTCATTATTTTTCATTTACACGACATCAATAAAAGTTGTTATGAAACTAAAGTAGTTCCTTTATTTTCATGCTCGACAGACACTTTTGTATTTCTACATCGTTACACTTGCTTTTCTTTACAGGGCCGCAGACAAGAAATCGGAGATTATATATATATATATAATCTTTACACCGTATATATTTATACAATTACAAAAAGTCTCCTTACTCGAATACTCGTTGATCTTCAAGCTTTTAATGTCCCATGATGATGTTCGACGGGAAAATATCGTCATTCAGTCTGAACGACGGTGGTACAAACTTTCAAATTTCGCATTATATATGGCACAAAGTTATTATTTTAATAACGGATGGTCGCTTGGCAAATATCTGTTCTGCTTATCTGCAGCGAAATGAAGTAAAAATATTCAAGGGTGTGACGTTTTATATTAATTACGGGTCAATATATATATAAATATATATATATATTTGATTGGATAGGAATGGCGATTCGAAGATGTGAAATGCTGAGAGATTAATATAGATCTGAGCCAGAAAGAAAAGGGCTAAATCTTACGGGGTGAAGGGGGCAAAAATGAAATATGAAAGTTCAACTGTTCAAGCAACTCTTGCGTACGTTTTCTCGGAGCTATACGTTGAGCAATTGCTAATCGCTATTAGGAATAGCTACATAAACGGCTAGAAGCACTCCCGCTCGTCCAGATCATTGCATTTGACCTGGTTTCTGCTGGTTGATGTGACTGATAGGTCTATATTCTTCTCACGCCTCAAACAGTCCGCATCCCACAACTATAGTAAATACTCTTTTCTTTAATCTACGATGACAGGGAATCAATACGTGTGTGTATAACGATGATTTTCCAAAAAGTCGGCACAGCAAAATCGACGATATTCAACGTAAAATTGATTCTTCAAGAGAGAAAACGTTATTAACCTCTATATAAATTTATTTTCTTTTCTCTCGAAATATTCTGTTCCTGCAGATTCCACATTTCTCGTATATTCTCTTTCTCATTTAACATTTAACAGCATCTCTCTCGCAGGTACTCTCTGTCTCACGAAGTGAAGTACAACATCATAACAGTCCAGATTATCCCGTTTTTCTCGTGGCTCACGCCCACGTTCCTTTCCCGTTTACGACGGAGATTTTTATACAGCCATACGAAAATACAGTTCGATTTTGTTGCAAACAATAAATATCTATCGATTCTGTCTTTACAGTACACGGCTAATTCGAAATTTACAGCGGACACGCGTATGACAAGTCTTCCGTCCGCTCACGGTGAAAACAAATAACTTGAGATTCATCGATATACAAACGATCACGGGATATCTTGATATTATCTTTTATAAAATTAGCAATTTTTTTTATACACAAAACAACAGTCAGAGTCTCAACTATCGACACTGAAGTGGAATAATAACATGACAGATGCACTTGTATGGCGCGTACATAGAAATACGTGTATAAATTCACTCGGCGATACACACAAGTTTTACGATGAGTCACAGGGGGTGAATACTTTGATAACGTAAATTTCGAATCGAATGCATCTTTCAATACGTTTTTCCTTGCTTTATAAATGTAAACAGTATGCTCAATCTGGCAATCTGGCAATTCATAAGCACTTATAAATTGTGTATTTTCAGTACAGAGATCATGATCAGTTTTGTACACGATTCATATAACTGATATATATATATATATATATCATATAGACACTCTTTTCCTCCTTTTGTCCTAAAAGTAAAATACCTACATAACGTATAGTGTCTTTTTGTTTTCCTTTTGTAAATTTCATCCCCTGCCGCATCTGTCCGTCTATGATTATTATGAATATGAATGAATACTTCGTTGGGAAAAGAGGAATTCTAGACTAGCATAACATGTTAAATACATGTGTTTACAATGAGCCGAGGATACGTAACACCTCGCAACTTGGATCGAATGAATGATAAACGAATAACAATCACATCAGGTCAAGAGTAGGAGCTTCGCGCGCAGGTTTATGCGTTCCTGGAGCGCGCTAGCTAGTTCTCGGGTCAGTTCTTCGCAGACTAGGCGTAGTTCCGCATTCTTTTCCCTTAATTCCTGCAACGTCAGTTTCTTCTCGTCCTCCGACTCGTCCTTGCCGTCTTCCTCGCCGCCATCTCGTTCTGGCGAAATCACATTTCGAAGAGACGTAAATAACTTCCAGGCAAGCGAACGCCACGTTGGATTTTTCAACCCAAATATCCGAAATCGGATGTAAATTCAGTAAATTTCTTTATCAGTCGAACGACGAAAATGTGCATATACATGATTTTGTTGCTTATTATCAAGGTGGAGTAAATGAATTTTTATCTTCAATTGAGTTAAGTCAAAAGTTAATGGCTTATAAAATTAACTTGGTTAAGTTACAGTTGAAATAATTTTTCACTTAACAACATAGTTATCGCCGCCCAATCCTGCTTATTGTCCCGCGAGAACCAAGAGATGAAAAGGTGTCTTACTTGGACTGGGTTTCCTATAAATGTGAAACGCCCCACAGACTCCAGTGAATTGTTGAGACTGCGGCAGGGTATTCTCCATAGATGGATTTTCAGGCAGTTCACTCTTGGGGGAGAAATGAGAGAAGTCGGCGACGAAACCTTGACTTTCGCTCAATGTCCTTTGACCCTCACCTTCGCTCCTTTGACCGACCAATTTGCGTGGCGAGGTCTGCAACGAAAATACATCATTGCGTATAATTCTCGTCGCAGTTGCGAATCAAGTGCGTTACATCATAAGTCGCGCGGACAATGTGTGGCAATATTTTTCTTCAAGGGAATGAAACAAATTTTTAAAAGAAAATAAAAAAGATGCGTGTTGCACATAAACGCACACATGAAGGACTTACAATTCCTGGCGAAATTCTAGGCGGTACCAACGGTGGCGCTCCAAGGAAACTTTGACCGTTTTTCCCTGAAAGAACATACGTAACAATTTGTACAAACACGAGATTTTAATCCCGTCGTTAATGTCGTAGACGTAACGGATGTTGTGATACCATGAAAGTATTGAAACGGGTAATCAAGAATAATATCGATGTTATTAGCGATACAATATCAGAAGAAAAATTCTGACACTGGTATCAAAACTAAAACAAACTTAAAATTAGAGAAAATATAAAAATCAGGGAAGTGTTTGTCTTGCAAGCTACTTTTAAGGGTTACGTATACGCATAATAATCTTACTATGGTACAAAGATACTCCTACCTTCCGCACTAGACTAATAATTAATTATCACTTTGCAGATCGAGTTTTTCTCATCTAATGATTATTCTTGACACTCCTAATGATCATACAATACAAAAAAATTGTTTAATGGAAATCAAGAGGGGGCACAAAAACGGCCTTACTGACCTTCCTCCTCCCCATGGCCTTTCCCGGTTTTTCAAGTATGTCGCAACTCCCCAATGTCGTATCAGTGGTATCACAACATCCATTGTATTAGGGATGCCCATAAGTGATGTCGCTTTTTGATACTTATGCAAAATTTTATTCTATTTCACATTTAATTCTCTCAAGATTTCACAATAAGCACGATAAACGTCGATAAATTTAATTAGTATGCAAGTTATATGTATCAGGCGTGCAAATTAATTCGGCGCATTTGTGTAATCATGAATGAAATTTCATGGAAGAAGGCACCGAATTAATTTGCACGCCTAATAGTGAGGTCCACGCGAACAAACGGTGTGTTCGTTCAATCCGGAGGAAACGACATCGCTTTAGGGTACCCCTGAAAGAAACGGCCCCGTCCGAACGGTACCTAATTTGTTAAGATCGAGGCTGGAACTGCGCGCGTGCGTTCTGTACGGTCTGGGTGGCGGCGGCGGCGGCGGTTCCTTCTTGGGGGTGACGATCACCGCGTCTTCGGGTGCTGCCGGCTTCTTCGTTCGTTGGGCCAGCGACGCCACGGCGGCGTGCTGCAGCTCGTCTTCCGCCAGGGTGGTGCAGCTGCTGCTGCTGCCGTTGGCGCCGGAAGCTAATATCGCCGCTTCGGGCGTTAGGCGCAGTGGCACCGGGTGCAAGATCTTCGGGTCACGCTCGACCGCCGACTTCTGGAAATCGAAATTCACTAGCTGCAGTCCCGGGCTGGTGACCGAACTGCTCGTGCCGCCGGTCGGCGAGTCTACAAACTTTGTCCACTCCTTGTTCTTCTCGCGGGTGCTCGCGCCGGAGGTCGCGGGGGGCGAGGATTTCGTAGCGGCCGGCGGGATCTGGGCCGCGGTGGCCGTTTGCACGGCCAACGGGATCGACAGGGACGGAGGTAGGACGTCGGGTAGAGGCACGTGATTCCTCCTCAGTACGACGAGGTGCATCGCCACGTAGAACTCCTGCAGACTCAGCGCACCGTCCCTCGTGACGTCCGCGAGCTGCCAAATGCGTCTGAGCTCGGCCACGGGTAGTCGGGACTTTTCGAAAAACGTTCTCGCCACCGGCCCGGCCAGGAGGCCCTCCGGGTCCGGCTGCAGCTGGGCGAATTGCGCGGCGTAGTAATCACGCTGCTCGTCACTGATGATCCACACCTCCTCCGGAGGGAAGCCCGAGCCGTCCCCGTCGCCCTCGTCGCTGCTGTGACGTTCCGAGCTCTCCTCTTCCGTGCCCAGCAGCTGTCTCTGCTCCTCGGAGACCAGCAGACCCTGCCAGCCTCCGGACACGGAGTCCAGTATCGTCTCGCCGCCCAACATGCCGTCGTTCCTCTCTTGAGTGACACTGTTCGTCGGCGTCGGGGAATCCGTGCTGCCGCCGGTCTCGCGCGGAGATTCCGCCTCGCTCTCACTCTCGGTCGTACTTTCCGGGACATGGCATCTGTTCTTCGCGGCCCGCGTCGAATCCGAGCTCCTCCTGCCGTCCTCGTCGCCGGAGGTCGGCCATGTAAATCTTGGCAAGGTAATAACGTCCAGAGATGCAGTTAGTACATCTCTACAAACTTCGAGACCAGCCTGATGAACAGCTATGAGCTTCAACACTGCGTAAAATTGCTTCTTACCCAAGTATGTGTTGCCTTTGGTGCCAATGCAAATATCCAATATCTAGAAATTGAAATGACAACTGATCGTTAATATATCAATATATGTAAATATGTTCATGGAAAGGTATTTGTATATGCACGAAGTTGGGGAGTAACGTTACCGTTTCAAGTTACTTTTAGCACAGCCTACAACAGGCGGTAGAAATATGTTCGCAAGAAGCAGGAATGAGAAACTGACCGATCATATTCAAATGTAAGGAGAATAATCGACCATGATTGGTTAATTTCTCATTCTCGCTTCTTATAAACCTACTCCTACTGCCCACTGTGGCCAATGGCTGACTTATTGATTGAAAACGTTTCATTCCTTCAATTTTTCATCTATATTTTGAACTCTCTTTTATCGATAAAAGTGCCTCTAAAAGTGGCTTGGGAACCACCCGATTGACCGAGGAGGTCTCTAATCGATAAAAGAGAGTTCAGAGTACCGACTTTTGTCTTAAAGAGAAGCATAACAGTCTTGAGTCTTAAAATAAAATGCCATTCTGTATGTGATTGACGACGAACCGTTGTATAATAAATAAAATAAACAAATGATAATCAGATCAAGATTTAGGACACACCTGCTCCCTTCTTTTCAACTGAACTTACTGCACTGATCGAGAAATGCATGTGTACACACACATCCCGAAGCATACGAAGTACATAAGAGATTCTCACGCTCCGCGGTGTGCGTGAATTCCAGCGCGGCCAGTTCAGCTGAAAAGACCAGCTGTCTGAAAACTACAAGTCAAACATTCAGCCGAGTTTCCCTACTTTTCCCGGATCGATGTAACGACGGACAACAAGTCACCTCCGCGGAGGTCGATCCTCCCGACCCTGCACACATGCACATGACCTGACTCAAATTACTCCCCAACTGGCGGATTAATCGGCTCGGTAGCTGCGACATAACCTCCACGATTAGACCCGACATGCTAATCTCATCAACGCGTATTCGACGTTCTCACGGACGTCACGGAGCAAAAGGCTCGACCGTGCCTGGCCACCGCCTGCAGGTGAATTCTATCACAGAAGTAACGCGAGCGAGCGAGAGAGAGAAAGAGAGAGAGGGACGCGCGCGCGTCGATAACAATAAAAAGAGAGAACATCCAAGGATATGAGCTCCGGATTCCTCCACCTTCATCGTGACGTCCCGGGGTAGGTTGGCAAAGCGCAGCAGCTCGGCGACCTTGATGACGGGCACGCTGTCGCTGTCCGCGTTCTCGCAGCAGTATATGAATATGTCGCCGTAATAGCGGTGCTCGGTCGCAGTCAGGTGCAGGCTGGCCATCGTCAGCAGCTCCCAGTCCATCTTGACAGCTCGAGCTCGACTCGAGAGAGAGAGAGAGAGGGAGAGTGCGTACGCTGTCCCGGCCGTGTGCCGTTAACGTCTCCGGGCCGCCCTTCCTCTCGCCCGCCGGTTTCGCTCGCTCTCTACTCGCGACACGGTCCGCTTCACGGTGTACGAACGCTCGCAATCACATAGTCGCGCGCGTGACGCTGAGTACGGAGAGAGAGAGAGAGAGCTCGCGCCTCCCACGGGAACGCCAGAGATGAGTAGTTTACGAGTTACACCCCATGCAGGCGATTATCAGACGATCACTAGCTCCGGCTGACCGCCCGTTGACTGGCTGCCGCGATGCTGAGGGAAGCCTGAGAACGGCCATCCCGCGGGGGCTCTCAAGGGACACTCCTCCCGACGCGACCTCTGAGAAAGTGCGTGTCAACTACGTCGTACACGCGTCTTCCGCCGGTAATGTAGTCGCTCGGTTCTTGTCCGTTATATTTACGTGTGAGTTAAACGAGGAGTTGAGAGTGAGGTTAATGAGGACCGATAATTAGTCACTCGGGAGCGGGCCGCATGATAGGCACGAGGCGAGAAAAGCGTAGTCTATAATGGGCAATAGGAGTGTGTTCATAAGTAAGAAGAAATCGACCAATCGCGGTCGATTATTCTCCTCACGTTCGAATTTGATTGGTCAATTTTTTAGCCTTGCTTCTTATGAACGTATCACCGCCCATTGTAAACTACGCTTCATCTCTTTCATTATACGACGAATACACCTGGGGAAAAACGATCGTATATGTGAAATTAGCTCGTATATGATTATATATAATCGTATATGTGCACTGCAACCGAAGGTTCGGCCGCGTAAGGGAGCGCGGCTGACCGGAAGAAAAGGGATGCCGCAAACTAAACGAACACGAATGCGAGGGGCGGTTGTGATTGGCGGGGGCCGTCGGCGAATCGGGAAGCGTCGCGGAGGGGGAAGAACGTTTGAAATCGGAAGAAGGAAAGGCGCGGAGTAGCATGGAGACGCGGGAAACGAGAGGACGCACATTGGGAAAAAGAGCGGAGAACTGCGCAACGAGATGACACTGGAGAAGTTGCTGACGGAGGAGGAAGCTGACGGAGACGCCCTGGTGCAAACTTCCTGGTGGAGGCCCAAGGAGACGCGGGGAAACGACCGATCGCCTGGCAACGGTAAGTGCGCTGAAAAATTGCCACTGTTCCCCCCCGTAACGAAGTTCGACTCGGAACGCGGCACCGGTGGTCGGAATCGTACCGCTAAGTTTTAGAAGATAGAAAGAATCCCGTCGTCGGCGGGATCAAAGGGCTACCCGGTGCGGTAGGCGACGCATGTTGCGTTATCCCGCCGTGCGCGCCCGATCGGGTCCCGACGTGTTCGCTAGGACAGTCTTGCGTCGGGATAGATATAAAAAAGTTAAGACATCCCCGAACTACGACGCGTGGGGATAATAGTTTAATTTATTCAGCGCAGCGGTGAGATCGGGAAATTAGTGTCTGAGGCGAGCGTCCGGTGATCCGAACATCTCTTCGGGGATGACAACTCAAAGCAGGAAGGGAATCCCTCTATACAACCCCTTTACAACAGTAAAGGCGTATCTGGGGAGACTTGGCCGGTCCAGCTTCCCGGGCCTGGAGCTTAGGCGAAGCTCTAAAAAATAACGCCCTGGCGACCGTGGACGGGCAACGGGATCCGTGGGGAACTTTCCTTCTCCAGGTTCGTCGGGAGTGAACGTTGATTTTTTCACTAAGCTAGTGACATCCGGTCACAGCACAACGAAACAATACTGTTGTTTACAAATTATTTACAAAATACGTAGATACGATCGAAGTGAATGCTTCTGGCTACTTGCGCTTATCCGACAGCACACGATATCGATCCTTAATTAAATGATGTAACATCATTCTTTCTTTTTCTCGTTTGGACGATGTACGATGATATATATAACCACATGCGATGGGCAAAATTCATATAATTAGATTTAATCATATATAATCATTTTTCTACCGGACAGGGTGTCTCGGAATCAACGTGTCTTTAAAGCTCCCACCTGGGCAGAACAAAATATCCAAGAGATATCTTAAAGGCATCTAAAAGGCGTTCTATTTTTCTTAGGTATCTTTTAAAAATTTATTCTATCTGGGTATCGGCTATTCTTCGGTGACGCCGGAAGCGAGAAAAATCGTGCCAATTTGCGCGGCGTATTTCTTAAGTAAATCAGGCCGCGAGTAACGTAAATAAGATTGCAATGAAAATGCAAATAATAGACATATTAGCGTAATATATTTCATGATCGTATCATTTGGATCTAACGACACTTCAACGCAGGAGCATTGAAGTTAAGAGATCGAAATGTCTCAATAGCCGTAACGATAAACGTGAAAGTTACATTGTGGTTGTTCGATGCTTTTTTACTATTGCGCAATATCTTCTTCTACAGAAACATATTCTCAATGCCGGTCGATACTCTTGCGTGTTTAGCACAATCCTTTTTCCGCAGCAATATCATTGTATTTTATAGCTTAGAAATGTTATATAGATTAAAGTAGGATTAGCGGGAAAAATACGCGTGTGTGTGTATGTGTGTGTACGCACTTTTCGAAATGAACGAAATCGTTGGGAATCCTCGTCTCCTCGAAACTCGAGACGGGAAAGTCCCTCGAAGATGCCGACACGACGGTGTCGGTCTTCGAGAGAATAAAAAAAGCAACGCCTACGATATTCATAATCATACAAAATGGCTCGTGACTAGAAAAGGTTATTACATACAGTGTTTCATCGATGTAACGGTAATACTAGTTGCGTTAGTAGAGGATGATGTGATAGTCGATTTGGACGTTCTCTCATTTCCGACGAGACACAGCGTGTCAATGAAATAAAGCATTCTCCTCCGCAATGGTCAACGAAGTAACACTCTTTTTCGTACTGTCGTATCGTCCTGTGATCAATTTCTGTCCGGAGGTCTTATATCGCACCGTTGCATCTTCTCTCGGGCTGCCGGTGATGTTGCCGAAGTCCCAGTTACCGAAATGTTCCTCGAGCAAGTCTTCCAGCTTCTTCGAAAGCGCGTCAATTTTCTTCGTTCGCTCGTCGTCGTGCTGTAACGAAACGAATCTTTCAAAGCTTCAAATTGAGGATCACTAGCCCAGCCAGGCGGACGTTGAAATCTCTTGGAAATTCGATAGATCGTAAAAACAAATGTGCACGTTAAATCGACGATTTATACGCTTTTACACGGCATACGGATTCCCATTTTCTTTCTACTCCTGACGCAAAGGCCGCGACATTTTTCGTGAGAAAGAGACAGGTGTTCGAGTTTCTTTAAAACGAGAGCGCTTCGACGCTTCGATACACTCGAGTTTGAATGTTCACACCCTTCTAAAGAGGGAAATTTTGCAACAGCTAATCTCTCCTTGAGCCTCTCCTCGAAATATCGAGATCGGTCCCCCGTATGAATGAAACATCGAGGAAAAACACAGAGGCAACGAGACCAACCTGATGGCATAATCTCGCGCTCTGAATGATATGACGGAAATCTTTCACGGCGTGTTCGACCTTGTGGTAAACTCGGTTCTTCAGCTTGTAGTCAACGATCTCGAGGAACATCGGACTCTTGACGGTTCTGCAGTAATTCTCGATCTGCAAAGCCCACGAGAGAGTGATGAGTATCGCTGAGCGCGATCTTAAAGCACTAACTGTACCGTCTCCGCATCTTTCGTTCGGAAGCCGACCGCTCCCACGGGCGCGAGCTGGCCGTCCTTGTCGGCGCACGGGATCGGATGCTTGAAAATCTTCGCCTCGTCCATTTGCCAAACAGCCCGATGGATCATCTCCAGCTTGCTGAGCGCCAGAGGACTGAGGCTCTGCTTTCTCCTCGAACTGTACCACACCGACCAGCCACGGTCGGCCGATTTATTCGCGCACCTGCTCTCCGAGTGTTCCGAATCCTTCTTCTTCCCGTAGGTGGTCCTCGTGCTGCCGGCTTTCGCGCAGGATTCCTCCTCCAACTGGAGATCGTCCGCGCTGTTCCTCGCTGATCTCTTGTCGGCCGATCTTTGCGACTTGTGCAGAAGCTGGTAAGACTGTTCCGGGTCTTTCCGTTGACACTTCCGACCGGGGATCGGTACCACCTGCGCACCGCAGCTCGCCGATGCACCGGCCGTGCACGCCTTGTACGACTCCTTTCTGCTCGAATGCGCGTTGTCCGACCTGATGGATCTTCGCACCGTTTCCGAGTACGTGGCTCTTCCAACGTAGCCCTCCGACTCCTTCGCCGACGTCTCGTCGTTGATTCGGAGGGAACGCGAGATGTGTTCGCGAGAAAAGATGGCCGGGTATTCACTGTCGATGCTCGCCGCCGGAATCTTCGAATCCGCGGTCGACGATGACGTAATCGGATTCGGCTTTGCATCCGTGATCACCGAGCTGTTCGAAGACCCGGAACTCCGTCGATCCACGCTGCGTCGTTTGCCGACGATGCTCGCGTTATTGAGAGTCCTTATCAGCCAGGAGTCCGTCTTGACGTTCGTTCTCGTACTGAGAGCTGTTGAACATGTCTTTTCTTTATAAGAGGATCGTTTCGCTTTACCTTATTATTATCTCATCGCGGTTTTATCGTCAGGTGCAAGAAGATCGCGATGTTTTTCATTTTGAGTAGTTTTAACAATCGAAAAATCTATTCAAGCCCTCGGGAGGAAAATTCGTCACTTCGACGAAATTAACCGTTTCTTTCCTTTTAGAATGAGATAAGGTACGATATTTTGTGAAATATTGTATCGGGCAGGTGTATTAATATTTCATGAACCATACGCGGGAATAAAATCAAGAATCGATATCTTCTCTTATATATAAACAAGAATATTATAACCTTCTTAGAAGACTTTTAGCCTCGAATTGAGTTTAAGTAATACTCGCATCGATATAAATTCAATCAAACCAAGACTAAAAGTCTCCTAAGAAGATTATGATATTTCTGTTTATACGTGAGAATATCTATTCTTGATTTGAGACTAATTTCTCTTAAGGAGCATATTTCTGATGTAAATTGAAACAGAAAACCTCCTGCAAACATGGTTCCAATTCGGAATTATCCGTTTACAAGTATCTAAAGTTTATAAATGGTAGCACAATTTTTTGGAATATTGTTTCGCTAAAAGTGGAAAAAAGAAAGAAAATATAAAGATCATATAAATTATTCAGATTGACATCAATATACAAAACGGTATGGTCCGAAATGGATTAAGTAGCCGCACAAAGAACATCATTGATCGTCGACTATAATCTTCGTTTCCTTTATTTTCTATTCTTCAGAGAAATAAATTCAAACTAAGAAAAAAATCTAAGAACCGTACTATCGTTTATAAACAATTGTAGAATACGGGGGATACAGTTTGCGGGGTGTATTTTCTATTTCAATTCACCATTATCATCTTTTTGGTCTTGATCAATTTGTTCAATTCAGAAACACGCTCCTTAAGTTTATACAGTATGTTGTGCGACGTCCCACGTGTGTTAGTATTGCTCAAACAATCCTAAAACAAATCGGAGCGAGCGGCAAGAGGCGGTGGAAGGACTTCGAGGAGCGACATGGCGCGCCGGATGGACTCGAGGACAACTCGCAACATTGATCTACGTGGAGAATCGATCGACGCGTATCTTTACCGTTCTCATTGTCGCAGGACTGCTCGATCGACACGACGCTCGTGCTGGGCGACAGTCTGCAGGTGGAGCCGGAATCATCTTCCGAGGCTTCGTAGGACGAGTCGACGTCGGTGCGCTTCGGATCGGCCCGGTGCGACGTCAACGCTCCACCAGCATCGTCATCTTCGTTCTTCTCGGCGCTGCGGTCGATCTTCCTGGACGTGCCGGCGCAGTCCTTGACGTTGAGCGCCTCGAGAAGTATCTCGGCCGAGGCGCAGGCTGCCTTCCACGTGACGTCCCGATGAGCATCCCGGGACAGGGATTCCGCGCGTTTCAGGATCCCGGGCGAATTCTCGAGACTGAAGAGAGGAGCGGGCAGCTGCGAGGCCGACGGGAAGGAGGTCTTGATCAGCGTGCTGTTGCCGATATTGGCGGCCGGCGGCGCGTTCAGATGCGACAGGGGTGTCGATGACGCGGGTATCGTCACGTTCCTCGTCTTGTTGCCGTTGCGATGGTTGCTCGCGTTATTGTCCGCCCGGCGACCGGACCTCCTCTGATGCCTCTTCTTCGGCACGTTGTAGCTGCCCGGTTTCATGTAGACCCGCACGTCCTCCGAGCTGTCGTACTCCTCCGCCGCGTGTTGCGCCCGTGGACGAAGGCCGCTGACGAAGTTGCACGCGGCCCAGGGTGTGCTCTGTATGTTCGGCAGGTTCTGCAGCGCCTGGTACTGCCGATTCGCGTCCACCTGCGGTTGCTGCCTCGCCGACGAATACCTGGGCACCTCCTGCTTGGCGAACAGTCGCTGCGCCGGCTCCTCGCTCGCCTCTTCGAAGCTCGCCGACACGCTCGGGGCGTTCCGCATGCTGGCGAACCAGGCCGACAGGTTGGCCGCCATCTCCTTGGACTCCTTGTCGAAGGCCCTCGGCTCGATCTGGCTGAGCAGGGTCACCTTGCTTCTGGGCACTGCCGGCAGCTCGATCTGCTCGGCCTGCGACCTGCCTGCGACGTAAACTGGACTCGCGTTCCTCTTGACTCCGCGAAACTGCTCGGCGTTCCTGGGGTACTCGTTCACGGATAACGGGTAACCACCGCACGTGAGGACGGCCGGGTTGAGGGGGCCGGCGAAGGACGCGCAGCTCTGCGATCCGACGGACTCGACGTTGTCGAAGGCCTGCCTTCTGTCCTTCGGCGCGTTGCCCTCCATCACCTTGTCCCTCAGCTGACAGAACTCGGCGTTCAGCGACTTCTGCGCGAACCTCTTGCCGCGGAACTTGTTCGCGCTGCTGACGACGGACGAGAGATTCTCGGTGATCGTCCACTTGCTTCTCAGCTTGCTCTCCTTGTGGCTCGCCGAGTGCTGTTCCTGCCGGAAGCCCCGCGTTTCGTCGCGCATCGGGCTTCCCCGAGAGCCCGTTTTCTCGCTTCTCCGCTGCTGAAGAAGGGAGCGAGGGGGTGCGAAGAGGTCGCGATTCGTGTAGAGCGAGACGTCGCCCGGGAACGACGAGGAGGAGGAGACCTCTTTGCGTTCGACGTCCTCGTTCTCGCCGAGCCTCGCGAACGTCCTCACTATCTGCTTCAGGAGCTCGTGCGTGCTCTCCTGCCACGTGTGGAAGCGCGCGACGAACTCGGGCTCCAGCCGGTCCAGCAGGTTCGGGAAGTGCTGCTTGTTCAGATAGTTGTCGAGGCTCAGCCAGCCGTTGCTGATGCGCAGCAGCGCGTTTATGAGGTCGTCGGCGAAGACCCGGTCCCCGGCGTAGACCGGGATACAGGTCGAGGACTTGGCGATCGCGGTCTTCGTGGCGGACGACAGGCACGTCAACCAGTCCCGTCTGGGATCCGTTCGCTCCGAGCCGAGGACGAGCTCGGCCTCGGTGCAAGCCCAGTAAGCCGTCTTCCGGATCAGCTCCGGGTACTGAGACCTGTCGGCGCACGGGCCGTCCGTCTGGACGCCTATCGACGTGCCGTTCTCGTACTCGGGGCAGAGCTCGGCGAACCAAGCCGTCTTGTTGGACACGTTGTCTCCCGCGCCGCTGTACAGCGGCGCGGAATCGCCGGCTCTCGATTCCTCCTTCGTCAGGTCGTTCGACGACGTGGTGTTGCACAGAGCGGAGACCATCTTCTCGGCCTCGATGGTGAAGTCGAAGCTGGCCGAGGACGCGTCGGAGTAGCGCTCCTCGTCGGTCCTCGCGACGCCCGGGACAGCCGAGGACTCGCCGGGCTCCGGGCTCCTCTCGTCACCCTGCGAGTCCTCGGGAGGCCAACCGCTGCCCTCCTGCCGACCGATCGGGCTCACCCGGGACTCGCTCGGCGGCCCGCTGCTGTGCTTGAACGACGGGAACTCCAATGCGGGCAGCGTCGGCTTGTCCCGCGGGCCGAAGACCAGACCTAAGGGCGAGCTCGAGAAGAGCGGAGAAGGCTGCACCGACGCCGGGAACTGATTGTTGCCGAAGGTCGCCAGGCTGCTGTAGGGACTGATGCTGGCGAGCGGGAAGGACGGGCTGGCGTTCACCGTTTGCAGGCTGCAGGCTGCGTTCGTCGCTGAGATATTGTAGTAGGAGGCCTGCATCGGCTGTTGCTGCGACTGCTGCTGCTGAGCATTTCTGTCCTGGATCAGGCAGAAGGCCATGTCGGGCGGCTTGAAGTACGGCTGTGGCAGCAAGTGCGTCACCCCGGAACTGTTGCCGTAGTGCTCGCCGGGCAGGGGGCCGTGGGTGAACGTGGAAGAGGCTACTAAGAAGGACGTGGTGGACGGAGGGATCGCCGGAGCGACGCTGGTGGAAGCCTGCTCAAAGAGCATCATGGGTTTCGGGTAGGAGAGTTGCTGCTGCTGTTGGTAGTGTTGCTGGCCGCGGGACGGCTTGTTCTTGCTGTGCTGCCATCGGTTGTTCTTACCTGCCCCGAACGTTATAATCGTTAGTCCTGGTCTACAATAGGTAGAATTGAGCTTTAAGCCTTGAGAAATTGACCAATTACAGCCGGACGTGAAGAGGATGATTAAAACTGTGACTGATCAATTTCTCAACGCTTTAAAATATCTATTGTAGATTAGGTTTTAGACACAATAATAGACCTTTCGTACTCGTGTCAAAATCGATCCTTGTTTGAAAATGTTTTTTCGCGTTCAAGTTTTCACATATGCTGTATGTGGTAATTTCACACATTTGTGTTGTCTCAATATGTATTTTGCGCTGAGTCGATACTCAATATGTGTAAGTGTTCAAATAACATTTGTAAGGGTTAAAACAATATGTTTTATATAGATAGAGGATCAACATACCCAGTAAGCAAGGAATTAATACGATGTTATTACAATGACGTTTTCTAACATGTGACTTTTACAATATATCGTTCTTAATGTTATATACAACATCGTTATTAACAATATTTGACCCAAACATTAAATATAATATTTCTACACTATGATTTTAATACTTATGAATATTACATCACCAAGTAACAGTTTAAAAACATTTATAAAGTATTATGTCGAGATATTTATAAAATCTAAACAAAGATCACAAGATTGATATTTCAAAAGATTGATTGAATGTTCTTTGCTTAATGGGCATTAATTCTACGCTAACTTTTTAGATAATATTTACGTTACTTTTCAACATATTCATGTTATAAATCAGCACAAAAATTTGTATGGACTGTTTGGGACATGTAAAATGGTGTTAAATTTAAGACAAAACTTTCTTTACTGTGCACTGTTGCAACCTCCAGATGGAAAACGCACAAATTAGCTCACACAACTGATTATTATCATCACCTTTGCAATTCTCTTTAGAACACTGTAATCTTCTTAAACTTTCCTTAAAATAACAACTATCATCGCTTATTGTAGAAGAACCTGGACAAATCAATATAACAGTGATTGGAAATTAATCGAAAGATCAAATATAGACAAAATACTTTCTCCGTGAAGTAACAAAGTTAACAATATCGATTATAGTTGTTATCTTTCAAACCTTGAGGATGTATAGCAGCAGAATTCGACAGCTCGACATGAGGTTGACCAGTTGGATAAATGCACGACGGATGAAGTGCTGTTCCACATGGCTGGAGGGTCACCATTGGTTTACTGATAGGAGCGTACAAAATTTGTTGTCGTTGTGCTTGTTGATAAACGGACGAGGCAGCCGATGGACTTGGGACCGGGGATAACCGAGGGTGATGTAGAGATGATCGGCTCGATCGTGCTGTCGTAGGGTGCATGATCCGCTTGATCCTCGGATCAAAGCTGAATCCTCCGCCGTCTCCGTCGTCGATGGTTACCAGCCTCTGCAAGACGAAGGGAATTCCGTCAGCGTTAGAAATGCCGCGACGTTGTCGACCGAAACTTCTCGACACCGTATTGTAAACGTTTCAACAATTTGCGGTTTTGCGGTTGGTTATGCTGTCGCATGTCAAATTACGTCGTCCGTTACGTTATCCGTAGCGCGCTGATACGTCTGAGAAATTTAAATTCGCCGGGTATGACGGATATTTACTTAAGGATATTAATTAAGGCCATAACGTCGTTGCGATATTATATATTGCCGAAATGCATTACGTTAAGTGTAGTAAAATTAAAGTTAACGTTAATATTTAAAAAAAAATTCCGACTCGACTCTGTGTAGTGATAGTCGTTTATTCAAGCGGGATGAACGTAGCCGCCTCTATCTGCCGTCGAGCGAGTCAATTAGCCGATACTCAAACCCCATCTAGCCGAGACTCAAACCCGACAGCTTAACGTGCCTCTCCGCGGCATCGCTAGATGGCACCAGTCAGTCCGTTACTCGGACTGCTTCGTATCGAGCAATTCTAACGCCAACTTTGAACTCTTGCTATTTATTAGAAACCGATTTTTTTTGCTTACATATGGTTAGTTCCTAACTATATCAGATAAATCATCGAATTGCTTTGCAACCTGAAATTTAAAATAATATGACATAACAACATTTAGTAAGTGGGATAAGCGACATTTCTAGATCCGGTGCAATTTTGTACGCCCTTAAGGTCCGATAAAAAATAACTCAAGTCTAGTAGATTGACTGTTATTAAGCTATAACTTCAAAATCGTTGTTCACGACAAATCTAAGAGGAATTTACTGAGGAACATGAATGAATTGTGATAGAAATTATCGCTATCATTGCTATAAAAATGATAAGGGCAGTAAGCGTCTGAGGGATTTAACTTCATTGAGTTTTAGAAAATGTGACTATATATTATCAAATATAAATATAAATAAAACAGACATTTTCTCTCTATAAACATTCTTCTACGAGCATATCCTCCTCCGACGACTCCTCCGACGATTCTTCCGTCAATTCTTCCGTAAATTCCACTGTGAACACCGCTTTGCCGCAACGTCGTCTTTCTGCAATAAACGAAACAACAAAATCATTTCGTATAAAATATGAGCTCCATTATATCGCAATTTTACCTGCTCTTAAAATAAGAAGCTGAGATTGCTTTAATATAGCTGCTTTTGATTTCTCCTCGCTCAAACCCAATAAAGATCCACTAATATTAATTAAATAATGATGGATAATATAGAATATATATATAAAGTGTCTACACGGAAAAAAAAATCAACATAATTTTTTTCACGTAATAAAATAAATGTAATAATTACTATAATAAATTAAAGGATACAGATTTATGATATCGTAAGGATTTCTGATATAACTGGCATCATATGCGCCACTAGATACAATCACACTCTGTAATATATAAAAAATATAAAGTGATGAATATATATATAACACTTATAGAGCTATATGTATTTTTAAAAGATGTAGCTTAATTATTTTACATTAAATATATTTGATTAGCAATTGAATATTTGGTATACTTAGTATATATTAAGTGCTCACCATGCTCCTGCCATATGTGTAAAACCAATGAGCATAATAAATAGCCATTTTACGTGTCTCTGGTTTTAAAAGATCTGCATATTGTATTTCAAAAGATAAACCTCTCTCCACTGCCTGCTGATAATGCTTCCTCTTCATTTTTACACCAGAAACTGAAGGTCGTATTGTAATCAAATCTGCATTTATTTGTGTACATGCAAACTATTAAAAAAAAACAGATACAAAATATATACAAAGATTGAAAATATTGAGAGAAATCAACTTATAAATGATAATATTTGTGAAAAAGAAATAAATGTACATTTTTATATGTACCTGCAACATATCATCATTAGTTGGTGCAATGGCATACAAGTCATATTTCTTTAGATTTGCAGAATATGCCTGTAATAATAAAATAACTATTTACTAAACTAAAAATATATTAGTAGCTCTGTATATACATGAGTCTCCTATTTTTAGAATTATATAACTAAAGGCTTGCAAAATTTACTTAGAATAGAAATATATTGATATATTAAACAGATATATATTGCGCAAGTATATTTATATTAATGTTGATGATAAAGGTTTTGCTAACACGAAAACATACCACCGCATGTGTTTTCGTGGAATTTGAACAAATAAATGTTATCCTATTAAGTATATGTAGTTTCCCTTCAAATTCCTTATTCAATTTCGACACATCAATCGGATTTGGCACCATACTTGATGATTCTTTACTTTCATCATTTTTTTTCTTCTTTTTATCGTCGAAGACATTTTCATGTAGAATTTGATTCAATGCTACTGTCCTGTAACCCACTGATGCCACAGATAAATTTATCAAGTAAAGAAAATACTAGGTCAAACTATTGTCAAACTATTTTTTACTTCATAGTTAACTTACTTTGGTGCAATCTTAATAAGACATTTTTTAAATGAACAGGATCATTGTTCGATATATTTACACACAAATCGAAGAAACCATTGCTCAGTTTAAAATCCATATCTGCGATATACAAATGACATAAATACAGAGTGTAACTAAAATAGAAGTAACCAAACTTTACAAGTATATTCTTCATATATCTTCAGAATGAAAAAGATCATATGAATGGATACTTTTTATTGTCATCTTAATAAATACTATCCCAACTATTAAATGCCTAATTAGAGATTGATCATTTTTCCATTCGCTACAAGCTACACATTCCAATATATCAAGTCAAATCACTCGATTAAAAGTTATTATTATTTATTCTTAAAATAAAATAATAATAATATGAATAATATATATTCTTGCCTAATCCTATCGTAACAAAAATAATTTGATATCTCAAGAAAAAGCGTTTTCAGACCATATTTATGTGATTTTTCTTTATAATTTCACAAGAGAAAAAAATGATGCTTTCAAAGTTTGACACTTTATTCCAGTCATACCATATATATATATATATCACATTCACATATAAATAAGCCACGTGCTGCAGCGTGTGTTGCTATTACTCAATAGTAAACAGTCTAATATTTTTCTTTAAAACATATCGACATAACCGATATTGACTGACGACATTTTTAATACTTTTATTATTAAACAGAACAGAAAACAAACGAAGCACTGTGCGCAGTAATTTTCTATTACTACGAGAACTACACGGATCTTTCGGAACAGGTTATTCGCATAACTGGGAAACTTTCGCCATATTGCTTGAGTCGACGAAGCTCATGCGCCGAAGGCGCGGCCGAACGCGCGCAATTTGGATTCCGCTTGAATGCAAAGCGAGCGTGTCCTCGAAACTTTCGCACTCGCATCCTCGAGACCGACTTCTTCGATCCTTTGCAAAGTTTAATTGCAACATAAACTTGGGTACGAAACTGAACAAACGATGTTACACGAGAACGAATGCAGAAATTATACCCGCAGAGATTATATAAGGATTGTGTATTAAGATCTCGGCATACAAATTAGAACGACATGTGGCTAGCATGAATAGTCACTACGAATGATTGACTCGGCGAAACCATTTTTCTTTCTCTCTATCTCTTGACACTCTGGAGGATGAGGTCAGGAGAATTGTATCATCAGCCGTTACACATCAAGGAAGATGAATCCTCGCGCTCCATTGCGTCACCTTTAATTGCCAAAATACAGATCACTTTCGCCGACCTGTCTCCCGTTTGATTGAAGGATGCGCTTCTCCATTCTTCTCGAACGGAGGAGTAACCTTGTGAACGTTTGAACTCATTTCGAAAAGGACTATATAAAGGCCGGGATCATTTTTGGATTCAACACAATCCGAAACGACTTTCGTCGACTGAAGATACCAAACCGGGCCTAAATATGATGTTCAAGCTGGGATTCGTCTTCACGCTCGCTCTTGCGAGCTGCATGGTGTGTATCGAAATATTACATATTTCAATTAATTTGGAAATCATTTTACATCATAACTGCAAACTGTAAACTGAATTTTAACAATGACCACCTTACGAGTCAGCTTTCTTTCAGCAAAAAGCCAAATTTCATAACAGTTCCGCTACCAATATTAGTAATTAATCCAGTTTGAATTAAATCAATTAAACAGAAAGGACAAATCATAAAAGTCAAAATTCGATTGCACACAATCCAAAGATCATCAATATCCCGACACTTTCATTTCGAAGAAACACCAAGATAAGACAAACTGAAAAGTCCAATTACTCTCAAATGTATCTGGACAAATTTAACTACGAATTGTAAAGATCAATTGAATTGTTATTAAATGTTTATGCCACTCCTTGCATATATCACGGTATCTTCGTAGATTCAGATTCTCTTTCTAGAAGAAAACTGAATCTTTTTATGATACGGCTGAATTCACGATGATTCCTCAATGAATGCGCAGAAAACGACATTAAAATGTATCAATGTGCAGGCGGAAGAGGGATATCCGAGTGTGCGTCCCGACGGGCAGTTGTCCTACAATCGAGGATACAACTATCAGGATCCGCGTGAGGAGCAATCGGCCGATGGGATATCCGGCGTGGCGGGCAAGGATTACCCGATCTTCCGCGAGGTCCCGCAAACGCGATTCGAGTGCGAGCAACAGCAATATCCGGGCTATTACGCTGACCCTGAAGCCGAGTGTCAGGCGTTTCACATCTGTCAACGGGGCGGCCGTAAGGACTCCTTCCTTTGTCCGAACGGCACGTTATTCAATCAGCCGAGACTGGTCTGCGAGTGGTGGTACAACGTGGATTGCTCGAGCGCGCCAAGTTTCTACTCCATTAACGAGGCGGTTGCAAAAGCAATGGAGGAAGCTGATAGGTGAGCACGCATTATGTAACGAATTGTTCAAAATACCTACTGTGCGTCCGCGTGCGGCATTCGCATGCGCCTTGCATTACGTAATCGGACGTCCTCTTATCTCGCGCGGCGCGGTTAAGCGCGAAAAATGTTGCGGCAATATCTCCCTCGGCGACGCGGCGCGCCGGCCCCGCGATCTTGATGAATTATATTTCATAAGAAAATCAGGCGATAAAGCCGCGCGAATCACAAACCAGCCACTTTCGTCCGCGGAACAATCGGGCCCTGAGATTCCCCCGCTTTCAATTCTCGCCTCCGACCGAAGGCTGCGACCTGAAATTAAGGAGGTTGTGAAGGTGAAGCGAGCTTGACGAGAACTTCGATGAGACTCGCAAGCTACAGCTAACATCGATTGTTTAGACGGTGAAATAAATATGTAGGAACGCAACGATGCTTGAGAAATACTGAATTTATGAATAAGCTCCCTCGACGCTGCTGAAAATAGAAAATTCGCGCGCCTTACAGCCTGCTCGAACGATCGGCGCCGATGGAAAAGTCGACGGATGAAAATTTCAACGTTCGAATACGCCGCATACGTTCCGCTGATCCACGTGCACGCAGCAGCAATTTTCGCTTCTTGCCACTCGCTCGTCGTAAATTTTACCTCAAGCATTCGCGGCTCGTTGCGTTCGCGGAATATCCGCGGGGTGTTTCGCCATTTATTTTATTACATACTTGTAAATTTTATTTGTGCCAAAGGCGCATCCAACTAGCTGCCGAAGAGAAGAAGCTCTCCCGCGGCTACCTGCGTGAGTCTGACGTTGATGCTTGGAATAAGTACAACCAGCAGAACGTGAAACAAGGATGGAACGACACGCCGACTCGGCATAATTCAATGTCTGATTTCGCCAAGGGCCTTCCTTACGAGGCACCCGCGTCGACGTCGATCCCTCCTCCTGTTTACGGCGCGCCTCAATTTCCCGCCGAATCCTCGCCGAACGCGTACAACCCGGGCAATTCTTATTTGTCAGAACAGAACTACGTGATCACGGACGCGAAATTCGGCAGGCAAACGGCGAAGAGCAACTTCGCGGGATCGACGGCGAACGTTTACCTGCCCGCGTAATCCCCGCACTCGACCGAGCGACCTTCGGCATGTCATATGTATAATGTCTTAAATATTTGAAAAATATTGTAATTATTGTACAACCGTATATTCATTTGTAATAATAAATTCGCTTTTTAGAAAAGAAAGTGTACACGGTGTGTACGGCGACGGATGAAAATATTCTCACACCTAAATGAATTCCTACGATGTCTGTGGAAAGCAACGGTCTAATATTAGCGCAGCGGAGTTGCGCAAATCGTAAAACTTCAGCGGAATCCTCAGGATTCTGCCGCTCCACTTGTAGAACCGTGCTCGTGTACAGCTCCCTATCACTTCACGTAACGTGTTCAGCCATATGTAAAACAAGTAATCATGCTCGAACATAACCAGTATCCGTTGGAATATGGAGTTTTTATCTTTCAAACATTGCCGCGTTCTCTTTTGACTGAGGTATTTTCTACAGAAAAGACAGGGAGAGAATCAATGTGATGGAATTGTGATTTTTTAGTCGCCCTGCTAGAATATAAATATAACATTTGCTTATTAAATTAGATAAGTTACAACAAATAACGATCGGTGCAAAGTAAAAATGTTAGAAGACGGGGGCAAACGGCTGCTAAGAAAAAAATCTAAGAAATAAAGAAATATCTATTCATCAGATACTGATAACATATATTTATAACAATATATATATATATTTTTTTTTTAAGGAAAATTGAGAAAAAATTTTTTTATAAGAGAAAATATACATTTTCTTAAATCTATAGCTTCGTACGAAAGCAGTTGTATATTCTATTTAAATAATAGAATTTAGATTTAAGTAAATACGTTATTAGGATCCATCGGATAAATCCTCCTTATTTTTCAGACATTTTCCTCTCTCAATATAGAAAATTCCATAGGAAACCAACAAACCGTGAATATCGATGCATCGAGTCACGAGTAGACGCCTCTCCAGTTGGACTTTTTCCCTTTCAGCGTAAATGGATGGGACCGTTCAGCGCGAAGAATCCGCTTACCCACTCGTGTCTGTAGGTACAGCGGTCGGGCTACATTAAAGACAGCTTCAGCTTATAATATCACGATTTATGGACGAGGGGGAGGACTCTCCCGTCGCCGATAGACGTGCGATGAATAAAGCGGTGACGCAAGAAGCGCGGACACGGCGGCCGGTGTTTCCACGTCTCTGATATTTCCCGGATTCTGTGCGAACAGGGGCGAACACTTCGCGGCTCTCTCCGGTCGGTCGTGAGGCCCGATTTTCTGAATGCGGTCTATCTGTCCACTACATCTCGCGTTGATCGGCCGCTGATTCCGCCGTCACGAGCGTTCGCGCGAAGGTCAGCCGTGACGAGCTCGCGAGGTGGGCGCATCCCCCGCCTCATATTCTCACGGAGTCTTCCCTGGGGTCTTAATCGTGGAATTTGAGCCGGCTGTAATTGCAGACGCGACAAACCGGCCGTACGAAGTCTCGAATAATGAATATTCGCGCGCGTACGTTCTTTCGCGATCCGCAAGCACACGCCGCGCGCACACGCGTGAGTGAAACGTAATTAGTAATAAATCAGCGGGATGGATCTCCCGGCGACCTTGATCGAACTTCTAACAGTACGTTCTCACATGCAGGAAATTGCGCGCACGTTGCCCGCAATTGCGATCGGAAAGTGGCTGAAAAAGAAATGCCTAATTAGAGAGCGGCGAAATGCGCGAAACGTGTTTACACTATGCGGATAATAGAAGTTATAAAAGTAATTAGCTTAACGTGCGGCTGCTAAAGCCAGTTGTGCTAACTATTTGCTTAAACAGTGAGGCAATACCAGTCTCTAAAGTTAAGGAACGTAAGACAAGTCGATAATTTATCGAGACAGGACGATTTCGACATTCGTAGGCGTTTCGAATTAGTTATTTAAACGCGCATATGTTTTTTCCCGCGCTGATAATTTAGTTAACTAACGAGATAGCGGGACACGCATTTCTTTCTGAAAATTCCTGTCGATTCAAATATATCTTCCCGTATTTTTTGCCGTACGACACGTTAAAAGTTCGATCTTCCCAACAGTATGGCGCAACTCTCGAAGAAATGAGAATTCGTGCACGGAAACAAATCAGTCTTAAATCAAGATATTCTTATATATGAGAATATCTCTTCTTGATTTAATTTCTTTTCCGTGTGAGACGGCAGAAATATTTCTCCTCTTTCTGCCACGTCTTTTCATCCGTCAATTTTCATGCCGTGTAAACTTAGGATTCGCACAAATGTTAGGATCATTTCACTTATTATCGCATACTCCAATTATCGATTTTCTTCCTTGGTTATTGCGGAATTCCATCAATATACACGATTATGTATCCGGATAATGAGCCGACAAGAGTACGATCATGATGATCGGTGGAGTATAAAAAGATTCGTGAAGAATATAAAGTGCACGGAGGATGGACAAGGACGGGGCTCGTTTTTCCTCCCGAAGCGTCGTCGTCTGTTACTGATGTAATGCAATTGTTGGAATAAAGAAAGAGCGATCGTTGATAATTCAGACCTTTCCGCTTCATTCGCCCTGATTTTGAACGAAGTTTAATGGCACGCGGACATTTGAATACACCCGGCATTCCCGTGCATTCTCACGCTTATGTCGTAATTGTAATCTTTTCAAGGATTAATGTGGATTGATTCGTTGCGGCGAATCATCCCGGGATTTTGCAACCACCTCCACCACCACCGCAGGAGAATCATTACCTTCGTTTCTTTCTTTATTTTCCGCGTTCCCCTTTTCCCCTTTTATTAACGGAAATTATTTATCGACGGGACAAAATGGCTTAACCGCTTCTTCTCACTTGAGCCGAGAGCCCGAGAGCGGATCGTGAGACAGTTGTCGATGTTATACATAATACAGTAATAAGTGCATTCCGGGCATATCCCGCGAGGGAACCGAGCGCGGCGCGGAAAGCGCGATTGAAGTCTCGCGCGCGCTCGCGCGTGAGAACAAATTTGATGTAATTATCGCGCGGAGGTACATTATGTCGTCTCGGAAGAGTGTTATATATAGAAATTCCGTGCTAACCGTACTTATAGATTTCTTTTTTTCCCGTGTTCCGCGCGTCGTAATAAAATAGGTTAAGCAACGCGTTGCGTGAACGACGCTTCGAACTACTTACCATTAATATTAAGTGGCTCAGAATAGCGTTATTAGCACGAAGATACCGCGCTCAGAGAGAAATACGTGCACAAAGGAAAAGGATTTTCTTCTATTGGATTTAGCTTACGTGTTTATTCGACCTGGGCTTGTTGAATATTTTTCCCCGAATGTACTCAAGCGCGATCTCTTATGTTCTTCTCTCTTCAGCCCTGAAATTAGCTGAGTACTTTGCACCAACGAAAAGCAACGAACGCGTTGCATCCGGGGATATACGTTACTCGTGCGTAAGGAATAATTAAAAACTTATAATTGATTCGTCAACTCGCATATACGTACCGCTTCGTCTTGTTCGTCACAGTGGCGAATGACGAATGCATTATAATGCATGGCTTAATTGTGCCACGTTTCGAGGTGTTGTGTATGTTTATTATCATTGTTTCAGGCTCTCGAGAAAAGCTCTCTTAAGGTGTTCATAAGACAGATGATCTCGCTAATACTATCCGATCTCCCGTTAAACTTCATTAACGATTAGTTCTAAAGGAACGGGCGGTTTCGCAATGCGTGGATTGATTATCGCAATCGTATTAAATCGCTGACGGATCTCCCGCGGAAGAGACGCTAATACGATTATAGTTGGGGCCTTTCTATAGACGTCGGGAGATCATTGACGGATATCGCAAGCTATCGATATACCGTCTTATAAAAGCGAAGGTATAAATCCCTGCGAATTTATATGTGTTGAGATTCATTTCGATAACATTGCGCTCACCGCGACGTCTTTTCAGCGGAAACTCAAGCGAAGCGATTATTCTTGCTTAACAGCTGTTTGTTACACGGGACTTCCTGATGCGGTTGTCTGAAGAACAGGATTATTCTAAATGCACCGAAAGGGTGTTCGGATCAATCTGGAAATGGGCGAGCAAACGCGTTTTGTAAGAATCAAATTGGATTAACTATCTTGTAAACAGAAATTCTGTTTCCTTCAACGAAAATGCGCAACGCACACGCAAAATTAGCAACAGGACGTAAATTTTCCGGCAGACGCAGGAAACAGCGACACATTTTACCTGTGACATTTAGAATTCCAGGCGAAGCATTTCCGCGAGCGAGCGCGCAGCTACCAAGATCGATTCAAGGAGAGAATGAAGGAAGAAGAAGATATTCGCCTTAAGGCCTCACTTGGAAGATCCTCGGCGGGTGTGTAAACAGAAGTCCGGTTCGTCCGTGAGATAAATTGATAATTATGCTATGCAGCTAGCTACTTCGCGATCGTGTACATACCTTATGTGTCATCTTTGCCCCGAGACTTGCCAGCAGCCCGCTGACATACTGCTAGCTCCGCGTACGTCAACGTCGAGGCTTCCGTCGTCGATAACTCCGAATCGCACTTCGAAGAGTTCCGCGCGTTTACGATGTAAAATAGCATCGGCCGCTAACTAATCTCCTACGGAAACCGAAACGGAATATTTCCTATAAGCGCGTAATATCCCTAGAATATTATATGAATATTAAGAATATAATTCAATATTAAAATAATATTCTTATAATATTATAGGATTGTTATCAATAACATTAAATATTATTATTTCTTAAATATCATCAGGAGTGGACACACGACCATCTATCAATGTAGTACGGAAATACTACTTAATATTAAATGGTATTACTAGAATATTATTAGAATATTACTAGTCTGATATTCTAAGAATACGCCCGGGATATTATTTAATATTAAGTAATATTACGCGCTCATGGGGAATTGGAAGTAAAAACGAGGGCAGAAGAGTAGAGGGAACGGGAAGAAAAAAAATCTCACCACGTTCTGAACGAGAGAGACGAGTAAAAGAGGAGGAAGGACGCGTGCGCGCTCCCATTCGTATTCGT